GTACTTTTAAATGACATTTAAGCGTGTTAAACTGTCACTAATTGGACACACATACTTTTAAAGAGGTCTGACCATAGCCCTCAGAAGGTCTAGATACCGCATCGTAAAAACTTTTTGACCCCCATATGATGGGCGCCATGATAAATAAATGTCAATAAATTTTAAGTTGGCACTACTGACAAGACAGAATCGGCGCAAGTTTAGTAATAAGCGTAAGATCGGCGTTCGACGTATATAATCTGTTGTGTTGTTTATTTTGTTTTTCTAGTAAAGGTTTTATTTAAAACATTATTTTTTAGTTTAGTCGTTTAGTGTTTTATTTTAATAAAAAACATTTGTGGTTTGGTGTTAAATTTTTACAGGATTTTCAAAATCTCTTTTTGTTTTGTACGTGAATGTAACAATGCATCTAACGGTAGAAGATACAAGGAAGGAATAACATTTCATGTGTAAGTTTTCACAAATATTTGTGTATTTACAAAATCAAATAATTTGTATGTTTTGTTGTAGCATACAAAAAAATGTTAGGAAAGAATAACTGATAGCCATAGGAAGACCATTGAATCATTTTGTGACTTTAGTATAAGCCCAGAAAATTTGGGGATACTAGCTGAAACGGCAAATGTGTTATTGGCTCCTTGTTAGTGACCTATTGTACAATTTTTCCAACACAAGTTCCATGATCCTTTGAACTTGGCTGCACCGTACTGATGAAGACCAATAGTCAGAAAAACGTGTCGACCGTTACTTCTTTTTTACTTTTTTTTATTCGGAAAATGTCCACTATTACTACCTTGATACAATAATATTAGTTCCGTTCTAAGTAGGTACATATTATAGTTTGTATGTTTTATGCTTTATTTTATTATATGTAATAAATGATAAAAAATATACTTTTATAGTAAATAAATTGATTAAAGCATTATGTAAGAATAAGTTTATCTAAGGATTAAATTTTTAAAGCAATTTTTCATATCTATTGTTTATTAATTTGTTTCATTTAATTCTTTCTTATTGAGTAAGTTATTTCATATAAATATGCGATACTTGTAAAATGTAATATTTTCTTTTAAATAGGTATATATTATGTTCGTATAAAATATTGTTCAGTTAATAAAAACAGAAACATTTTGTCTTTTATTCAAAAGAAGTTTGTAAATTTTTCAAAATATATTTACCTACCCCAAAAAGATTAATAAAACCAGTTAGTCATATACACATTTTCTATATATTTATAGAGGTACTTTTTAAATAACTTTCAATACATTCGAAATCTGTGGTTTTATTAAACTCAATGTAACAAATAATAATAGGTATTCTCAAAAATATTTAAAAATAAAATCGAGATGGGACTCTTGTATAATTTAGTGACTATTCGCCTATGGTTAGTGCACTACTGTATGTCCCTGGGTTTTCTACATTAGAACAATACTGCTTCTCCACTCTAGCAGTATTTTTTGCATCTCAGATTATATTTATTAAAAAACCAAGGAATTGTTTTGGGCCTATTGCTGGGCCCTTTTCCAACATTCCCAAAGTTTTTTTTTTTACTTTCTGCTGATTGGATCTCCGATAGCGACAACTCCATTTGTTGTTCCACTAGTTTTTTATCAAATTTTTAAAATAACTTCTATATATTTATCTTTTGCAATGACTTTGCTTACCTGCTTCATAATCTCTTCCCTATGCCCCAATTTCTCTAACAGGTGAGATATTATACTCGCTCTATTAAATCAAATTATCATTATAGTTTATTTGAAAATGCTTGGTAGCACAGTTTTTATGGCAAAGGTCCATATTTTTATATAATTTTGCTATTATTCATTTTCAAATAAACTATAGGAATAGGAGTAATCTATTAGTTTTTCTAAAATACCTTGTTACCGATGTAAGTATATCTTTCCCTAGTTAAAAAATTCGAGTTTTTATTTTCATAATATAAATAAATAACCGGTTAACAATCGCATTCAGTGTTGCCACACCAATTAATTTTTACGTAATAGAATTTTGAACCAAAAGGTAATAAAATCGTAATAGATAATATTTTAAAGTAACATAAATGTATCACAACTATTATTAAATACATTTAACAATAAATCTTTAATATGTATTATTTAGTTGAGAGAAAATTATTTCTGCTGCTGCAAAAGAATTGGGTATTGATAAAAAACCACAAGTTAATTTTTTAAATTTTAAACATTTGGTTCATCCAGTGAATAGATGTTAGGCCAAAATTCACCTAAGGGTAAATTTTTGTAATTTAATATTTCTTCAAAGTCTTGAAGGGGTCTACGTTATTAAAAACAATTAATAAATTATGCTGAAATTCTGGAGGCTGGTGGTAATCCCCTACTAAACTAAAAACTGACCCAAAACAAAAAAAAAATAATACAATATAATAAAGTGACGCCTATCTTGGATTTGTTGAAACAAGAAAACACAGAAATAACAAATGTATAGATTTTTTAAATTTTTTAAAGTTTTTTTAGATAGAGCCACTCATAAAATTTCGATATTTTAAATAGTAATAGATTTTTCCTCTTTTCTTAAAAGTCGTAATAACGTACTGGTGTAACTTTTTAGTAATAGATTTGTTACAATTGTAATAGCAACGGCAACACTGATCGCATTCTTTTAAATAGTACATTTGACATTGAAGTAGGTATTTTCTCCATATTGCCAAACAGAAACAGATGGTTTACTTGTAATTCGAATTATATTACATAAATCTCACTGAATTTCTCTATAATTCTCATAGCAATATGTACACAAACCACTTATCCAATAATATATAACCATGTAAAAATAACATTTCACGAATGAGAAATTTTAAAAAACCGGTCCTGTCTGAACAGATCTAGGAAAATCAAATAGGTTTGTCAAAGTTTTGTTCTTAAGGCCAAGTTCAATTTTGTTAGACATATCATCACGATTTTTTTTAGGTTAGAAAATTGCATTATCGATTTTTTTCATTCGAAGTAATAAAAGACGTCACTTTAAATTTCTATCTCTTTATGTCAACAAATTTCTAACACGATGAATTTATAAAACGTATGTCACTTATGAATGTGGCGGCAACTGACGGCAACACTGTCAGCTACTCCATGGCTACTAGAGTACATACAGGTCCGGTATAAGCCATGGAAAATAATAATTTAATGTTTTGATCGAGTTAAATACAATATCAAAATTAAATGTTTATTTTTAAGTAAACGACATTTTTAAATGTATACGTTTTCAATCAAAAATAATATAGGCTAATACTCAAGTGTATTATACGAGTGTACTGGACAAGAGATAATTTTACCCTTTACTCCAGTTTTTTGTAATAAAACCAGCGGTAAAATAGATATTTGTGTACCAAGGCTGTGTTTTGGCCGAATTTGACATATGCGTTCAAGTCAAGCCACTATTGGTTAAGTATAAGAGTAATAGGCAATAAACGGGTGTTCAATCAAACTTGACATCAAGATAGATGTCACATAAGCAGGTGTACTGAAGATGAACTTTGCAAGACCAAGCATCAGATAGGTAGGTATAACACTTGATATTCTGAAAACTATGTGGATACTACACTGAATGAGACGGAATGGAAGTGTCAGAAGGAGGCTAAAGGCAAAAAATAGGCGGAACAGAGCCTAATAGATAGATAAGTAATATTTTAGCCAGGAGAGTCGACAAGTGTTATAAATATAGTTAATTTATGAATGTATTTTTAATGTATAATTTCAGTTTATTTTCATTTTTGGTATAAAACTATGGCTGACATAATAAAACTCTTAAAAGTATATATATTTTCAATCTTTATTACTATACATTATTTTTAGTATTCACTTATTCTCTCTGACCTAGGGAAAAGGTCAAAAAACCCTGGTCATAATTGTTTACAATGTTGCGTGTTCCTAATGATACAAAACATTACAGAGGAATGATACTTAGCCGATGAAATCTCATAGAGTTCACGCATGACATATTGTGGTATGGAATATGGCTATCTCTGATGCATCTGCGGATTTAAATTTATTTATGCGTACTGTTTTCTATCAACTGATACCCCAAATTTATACAAGCCACGTCTTCGCACCACAATGTGACATAGCATCAAATCTGCTTAATCTCGTACCATTTTTTTAAGTATCAAGGATATTCTTGGTGTAGCTGATCATCATATTTCGAGTCATTGAACCTAAAAAATAACAAATATCAATAAATAGAATTCGGAATTTATTCCAAAAATATTTTTCTTTGGGAATTATATAGGATTTCTCGTTAATATACAGACAAACTTTTAAAGGTGGTAGGTGCATCAAAATAAACATTTTTTTGCTTATTAAAATAAAAATAATTTTATTGCCCAACAAATTAATCCATTTACATAACAAAATACATGAAATAAATGTTAAACATAATATTTCGACAGAAAATAATTTCAGCAACAGCAAGAAAAAAAAAAGAAAAGAAATAATCCTAAATACATTAGCTACAAATTAGTACAACTAATGGTCGAAATAAATATCCCAATCAGAACAAAATTAATTAAAATGTTGCAATTTTTCAATTTTTAGTGTCTATTCCGTCTGTTCAGATGGCAGCATCTTATGGGCCCTACATTTTTAAATCTTATCACAAGAATCCTGAAATAATTAGGCAAAAATAAAAGAATGTATGTTGCGTTTTAACTGTTAAATACTATAAAAAATGATGGAAAGTCCATAACTTTTAAATATTTGTTAAATATCACTTATTAAAATATTTTGCATTAAAAGTAAAACAAACCATAGACTTTCCATCATTTTTTACAGTTTTTTTAATCCATTTATGAAAACAGTTTTTAAAAATATTATCGTTCAGAGCTGTATTTCTTGTGATAAAAAAGTCGCCGTCACTTGTCATTGAACTTGGCCTTAACTTTTTTCAGCTAAAATTTTATCCTACCTAGTTAAGAAAGAAGGAGAAGACCATTCATTAAAAAAAGAATGAGAAACAATTTTGCGGTTCGCGCCAATTTTGACATCGCTTTTTTGTTGCAATTGTTGCTGTATAATGTACAATGTATGTTTTGTTTTTATAATTTTTTTAAACGTATTTTTCTAATATTTACTTGTTTATATATTTGAATATAAACGAAATGGGTACAATTAGTGAAAATAGACAATCTGAGATATGCGGGTATGTAAAAATTCAAAAATAATTTCTATATACCTATATTTATAGAAATAAATAAAATATGTATACCTACGTATTTTCTGAAAAAATAAGTATTTTAAAGTTATCAGTATTTTAAAATAATTTAAAGTGTGTAATTTGACAAGGATATTATTATTCATTTTTTTTTCTTGTATATCTTATATAATTTTTTATGGGAATTTATAGGATTTTGTATTTTGACAATTTTATTTTAAAAATGCATGGCCACACTATTAGCTCAATAAATTGTAGTAGTTTCTAGCGAAAACCATTTAAAAATATGTTTATTAAATGGCTAAATTTCAGTATGAAAAGTAAAATATAATTGCCACTTGGTGCTAGTTTATAGAGTGTTAGTGGTAGTACGTAGGTAGGTATATAAATATATTTTTTGTTATTAAAAAATCAAATGTACTTTTTTAGTAAACAGTATGACCAAGATGATGCCATTCTAATTCTTACCAAAAATAATGATATTGAGGTAGCCAAAATAAATGAAGTATTGGAGAATAGTGAATTCAATGTTACAAAATATACTTTTGCCTACAAATTAATTAATCTATTTAAGAAGCAGGGAGGGGACGACTATGTTAAAAAAAATAAGGTTAATTTATATTATAAATAAACCTAGTATATTTATTGGTGTAACCAATCATATATTTTGAGCTCAAAGATGTATTGATCATTTAAATTTTTTATAGGTTGTTGAAGATTTGACGAAATGCTACTCTGTAAATAATAATCAAGTACTTGAAAAATGTGAAATAATTTATCTAGATGAAGACACAGAGCCCCACTTTAATCCACCCAACGTATTTTTTTGTCAATTTTCAAAAAAAGGCAATCAATTGTTTCCTGTAAAACATAGTGTACTCACTGAGAAATCTCTTAATAATCCCATTATAAAATTAAATAGTTTTAAAATTAAAAGTAATATGGGTATAGAAAATACCCCCACAACAAATAATGTACATAACCATATAGAAATACACTATGAAAATGACGTTTCACCACCACCTCAGAGAAATTCTGTTAAAAGAGATCTAAATAAATCATTTGGAAATTCACCATCAACTGGTAACAAATCAATTTTAAATAATTATTCTATAATAGATGATGAAACTGATGATAAATTAAAAATTAAATTAAGAGTTTCCAAAAAACGGAATGGGCAAACTTATGAAAATCTGAAAAGTCCACCTAAACTAAGAAAATCAAATAGAAGCAATTCTAGAAAATCTTATGCTGATTATATATCGCCTGAAAAACGTAGTCCACATAAAAGACAACATTCTGGATCTAGAAGAGAGTCTGGTAATGAAAGTGATTATAGACAAAATATAGAATCTAAAAGAACACCAAGAAAACACTCTAAAAGTGAGGTAAATAAAAAGTTTGTCCAATATTTGTATAATGAATCTATGATGTTAATTTATTTTTGTAGAATTCCAGTCCTGTAAAAAGGGAAATTCGAACACCAAAACGTTACATTACAGAATTCCCTTCTTTATATAAGAGGACACCAAGAGGTACACCTGTCAGAAGAAGTTTAAGACTTACGAGTACAGAAACTGAGAGTTCTCCTAGAAGTGTAAGAAGTAGGAAAACAAATATTGTACATGGTGAAGAAGATTTGGGAGTGACTAGACTAGGGTGAGTTTAGTACCTATTAATTTAAATATATATGCCCTATACCCATAACTTTGGGAAATGATAGCTGATGACAATCCGCGATGATTCCAGACCCTGCAGGTTAGGTAAATTAGATTAGTTTTTTTTTTAAACATTTTATGTAAAACATTTTTTAGCCCTATATTTTGAATGACGCTATATTAAAAAGTACTATTTCGGTTGGACGCTGTTTTGATGAGCAGAATTTCATTCAGGCGCTCTTTTGTTACTGCCAGGTCACCTCTTGTGACCATGCTCCCATTGGCCAATAATTACTCTTGTATTGATGTAGACTGGACATTACCATTTAATATGTTTCGAAAACTTGTATTTAATTATTACATTACTCTTGATTAATTATTACATTACTCTTAATTAATTTTAATACTGAATAAATTGTAATATTAGTTGTAATTACCTACTGTTTACTATTATTATGTATGTTATATCTTGAATAACACTAATGGTTTTTTAAAAAATATTTTATTACTTAAAAATTATAAGTTGTTTATTGTAGGTGAGTTGTTATTAACTAACTGACTTTTAAGTTTGTGTCACCCCTATTTATAACATAGGTAAAACAAAAGAAATATCTAAAAGGAGTAATGTGACAAAAGTGTTGCATTTACGAGAAATGCAACTTGGCTGAATACAATCCTAGAGGTCAATGATAACCATTCTAGGAATTGCAACTAAGCATTATTTAACTCTAGAGAATTTACTATTAAATAATATATAGTGTGAATTTTTTATATAACAATTCCCCTTTACAAAAAAAATTGATGTTATACAGCAATTTTTGAAAGAAAAAAAAAAATATAAAAATAAAATAAAGTTAGTATTTAAATAAGACAAAGACTATAGAAAATATGAAGTAAAATAATAAAATTAAATGATTTTTAACGTAATCAAAAAAGTTCAATATTATGTGTTTCGTCTATTTTAACGGTGTCCTCTTCAGATAAATTGGGTCTTTTCTTCGGAGGGTCGTTTTGTGGTGTTGGTGTTGTTGGTTTTCGATGTTTCCAAAACTGGTAAAGCAGGTATAGGACTGCCAGTCCTATGATGAAACAAATGGTACAGTACGTGAACCAAGAAATGTTTTTCTCCACGAAGGGTTTATTGATGAGGTCGTCAATTTCTTTTGAGTACTGGTCCAATTGGTTTTTGGACTGCTAAATCGTCTACATTAAGATTTGCCAATTGCCAATTTTAAATATCGTATACGATATTAGAAAGTTTTTTTGAACCGGTCTTCACTTTTGTTACCCCGATAAAAGCGAAACAACTTGATTGCAAGGTAAATATTGAGTTCTTAAGAATTGAGATTGTCTTTAGATTGGAATTTTCACAGTTTATTGTTACTTTCATTGGTTCGGCAATTAACACTAACCACGTATTTTCCTTAAGTTTTTGAACATTGTAGCCTTGTCTGTAAAACACAGTGTTTTCACAATTTTTCGGTAATGATTTATAGTTCCGAAATAGTCATGCCTCGCATATGGCGTTGTCATCTATTGGGAACGAGTATAGATCGCTGCACAGTTTTTTAAATGGTCCTAAAGGTTTGCACTGGTGCAGATTCTTGACGGGGATGTACGTTAAGGCATCATCGTCTCTCGCTAAATATCTTTGTGAAACACTCAAAATATGATGAAGGCCTGTTCTATTATCATAAATCGGAATGGGATATAAATGGAAGAGAGTAAAAATATGTTGCTCTATTAAGGGTATTTTGAGAACGAAAACGAGGTCTGTATTGGTTTGATAAGCTTCTATTTTAATTATTTCTAAATATTGAGCTAATTTTGAATGAGTAATAGGCAATGGTAAATTATTATGTTCTAAGTTTTGAGAAATTATTTTTAAGGATGAAATTAATTCTTCAGGTTCGATTATTGTAGTATGCAGAATTTTTAAACGTGCAAATGTTACTGAGTTCACTATGTCAGTTATTATTTTTTCAAGAAACGCTTAGCTTTCAAAAAGTTTTTCACAAATTTCAAAGAATTTCAATTTCGATTTAAGATAATTAATTTCGTTTGCCGATTGGTAGACAGCCTTTCGTATATTTACAATATCCTTATTTAAAATATTTTTGTTTAATTTAGTTTGACTTATACTAGAATTAAAACTTTTAATTACTGATTGAGTAACGGAAATTTGTTTTTTCAATAAATTTTCGATTTTGTTTTGATCGTTTTTAATTTCATTAATGCAATTAGAATAGTATTCTCCATCAGAGGCGTCAAGATTTCCAGTTATTGACTTAAAAATAGTGCCAATACCATTTATTAAACCACTCTTTTGACGTTTAATATCGAATGTTATTTGACTGAATTTGTCTTTAATAGATTTTGAAACTTGAAGTAATAGTGAAAGTTGATTTTTAATTTTCAAATGAAAGTTAGTTACAGGGTGGTCACCGCGAGGTCGAATATAATTTTTTAGTAATTCTAAAATTTTATTATTTGACTCAAATATATTTTTAAGATCCGAAATGTTTTTATGTACCAATAGTGTCCAATCGTCGTTAGTAACAATTATTCTTGTTTCGTCATGGTAGTAGACTCCTACAGTATTATTTATAGGGTTGATCGAGAATTGGGAAACTGCTGTTCCGATCAGCAGTAGAATCCTGAAAAAAGATTAATTTTCAAAGTAGGGTTTTAATAAATCAAAGTTAAATCTTGATTTTTGTTTCGTTTCCAAATTTTGTAGTCTGGAATTTTACTGGAGATATGTTTATCAAAACGGATTTTTGCATTTTCTTTTTTTTTCAAGAGTTTTAGCCCGAGCTAATTTATAGTAGTACGAAATGCGATTATTTAATTCTCGAATATATTTAGTGATTAGTTCTTGTTCGTTATATAATTTTTCGGGTGGTCTACTAGAAGTATGGCCAAATATTAATTCGTATGGGGTAAAACCATGCGTTTTATTTGTAGAATTATTATAACTAATTACGGCATATGGTAATATATTGAATGGATGTTCTGTAGGGTTTTCTGCTACATGTACCCTTATCATTTCAAGTAAAGTTGCGTGAAATCGTTCAACAGACCCATTTGACTGTGGATGACTTATGCTTGAATGCGTTATTTTTATATCAAATAATTTGCAAAGGTCTCTAAGTAAAGAGTTATCAAATTCCCTACCCGAATCACAATGAATTCTCAGGGGTGTTCCAAAGTGTTGAAATTAAACTAATAGGGTATTTACAACAGATTTAGCTGATTTATCCGGAATAGGATAAACCTGTGAAAATTTTGTTAGTTCGTCTCGAATTGTAAGGGCATAGTTTTTTGTTGATACTTCTAAAAGGTCTATGTTTATGCGTTCGAAAGGCGTTTTAGGTGTTTCAGTAATTACGAGTGGATTGTCGTTATTTTTTCGATTAACCTTGGACTGTTGGCAATTTGTGCATGATTTAATATATTTTTCGACATCTTTCCCAAGACCTGGCCAGTTGTATTTTTGTCTTATACGTCGCACGGTTTCGTTTATACCGCGATGTAAATGGTTTTTTCCATTATAAAATTGATCTAAAATAATTGGTATTTGATTTTCATCTCGGGTTTGTACGAAATTTTGACAGATTTTCAGTTTTATATCGAATTCTGATAAAATAAATGACATCATCTCTAAAGAAGGTAGATCGGGATTATTTTCAACCGCGTATACTTCAGAGGGTTTAAAATTATTTTTATATCGGTACAGAGCCATAAACAAGTGAATGTTTAAATCGCCTGGATCAAAAGGGAGTGGGATAATTAAATATTTTCGATGTCTTACAGTTTTGCTGCCAAATACATTTACTTTGCAGTGCGAAAAGTCTGCATTTTCTTCGAAAATATCTTCGATGATTTTATTATGCAGATATTCGATGCACTTTTCTCTAAAGAAGGTTAAAATATTTTTGTTTTCTTTATCTAATAGTTGTTTATTTGAGAATTCTATTTTTGAGTAGTCTGTGAGTGATTTTGTCTTATATAAGGTAACGAATATGTCAAACTCTCTCTGCGCTTCGTTTAAAATTTTATTTTCGTTTTCAACTGTGTCTTTTTCATCATGTTCGTCTGTACTGTCATTTTGTGTCGATGTACCGGGTCTATTTTTTGTTTGCAGTACCGAGTATGAGGAAATGTCGTTTAGTTTTGAATTAAAAAGCTTATAGTCTTGGAAATGATTTAATTTGATTCTTGACAGAGCATCGGCGTTTCTATTTGATTTGCCTGGTTTAAACTCTATTTTATAGTCGTATTCCTCTAACTTGAGGCGCCATCGGGCAAGCCGACTGCCGGGATCTTTAATAGAAAAGAGCCACGTGAGGGGTCTATGGTCAGTTTGTAAAATTAATTTTCTTCCCTACAGGTAGCATCGAAAATGTTTAACTGACCAAACTATAGCTAGTAGTTCGCGTTCAATTGTTGAATATTTTGTTTCGGCATATCTTTACCTATAGGCCCTTGCGAGAGAACTGCTCCAATTGCAAATGAACTGGCATCAGTAGTGAGAATAAATGGTTCATTGAAATTAGGGTATATTAAGATTGGCGATGTGATTAATAACTTTTTTAATTAGTTAAAAGAGTTAACACACTCAGTATCAAAATTAAAAGGAATATCTATTTCTAATAGTTTTGTCAAAGGTTTAGAAATTTTGGCAAAATTAGAGATAAACCTTCTGTAATAACCTGCCAGCCCTAGAAAGGATTTTATTTCTTTCTGATTGGTAGGTTGCGGAAATTTTTGAATACGTTCAACTTTTTCCGGGTTAGGTTTTACGCCATCTGGAGTTATTAAGTGCCCCAAATATGCTACTTCTTTTCTCAGAAATTCGCACTTTTCGGGCTGTATTTTTAAATTAGCATTTTTTAGACGTTTGAAAACTTCTGTTAATCGGGTAATATGATCATGAATAGTAGGAGAGTATATAATAATGTCGTCCATATAGAAAAGACATCTTTCATTTTGAATACCAACTAGGATATTGTCCATAACCCTTTGGAAGGTTGAAGGAACATTTTTTAGTCCGAAAGGCATCCTAGTAAATTCAAAATGTCCGTTTTCTACAGTGAAAGCGGTCTTTTGAATGTCTAGGCTCTAGTTCAATTTGATGAAATCCAGATACAAGATCTAGAGTAGAAAAATATTGACATTTTCCCAACTGATCCAAAAGGTCGGATATATTTGGTAGCGGATATTTATCATCGATTGTTACCTCATTAAGTTTTCGATAGTCAACTACTATGCGCCATTTTTGCTTACCCGATGCATCCAGTTTCTTTGGGACTACCCAAACTGGTGAAGACCAGGGCGAATTAGAGGGTCTAACGATGCCTTGGTCGATGCCTTGGTCAAGCATTTTATTGATCTAAGTTTTGACTTCTTGTTTGTGTTTGTATCAATAGAATGTTTAATTTCACTCGTAAATGACAGTTGATCACCTTCTAAATAAAATATATCAGAAAAATCAAGGCAAAGTTGGGTGATTAAATCTTTTTCCTCCTCATTGAGGTGATCTAATCGTAATTGATTTTTTATTTCGTAATTCCGATCATTACATTTTAATTTTAAATTCGAAAAGTTTATTAAGAACTGAAGTGATAAATTCACCGTTTTCATCTATTTTTACTATCGCCTTTGATAATTTGACCTTCTCGGTTTCTTGCCCTAACAATATAGTTTCCGTATTTCTCAGGTTACATTTTAATTTAAACATCTGTTATACACGGGGACCTATAGTAATTGTATTATCGTTTGTTTTTAAATGTTCATTTTTATTTTTGCAAGTGTCTGTTTGATCGCTTTCAATTTTAAATAATGGCAATGTTTTAAAATTAGTTGAGTTCTCTGTTTTTAATATCTACAATGCATTTATAATGATCCAGAAAATCTGATCCTAGTAATCCGTCAAATTCGATATCTAAATCGCAGATGTATACTTTGTGTGGATCATTTTTCGTGAAAGGAATAAGTACAGATTCGTTCATTATTATTTTTTGATCTGTTATGCCTTGGATAATAACATTTTCGCGATATCTATTTTTATAGTTAAAACAAGTATGTGGTTTAAAAACAGATATACCCGCTCCGGTATCGATCAATATTTTAAAAGTATTTGTTGCATCTTTTATGTAAAACATATTTTTTGAATTAACTGTAAAAGCAGGACTTATAGGAATATCTGTTCCGGAAAGTTCAAGTTCGGATTGAAATCGTCCAAATTCGAAATTTGAAATTGTGTTTCCAGATTCGAAAATGTTGCTTGATTCTGATTCAGGATAGGTGGGTCCGTTTTGATTGGACTCAGCCGAAAATCCAAATTTTGATTATCTCCGTAATTGTATTCATTCAAGAAAAGGGGGTTATATTCATCAGAATTTTCACAATAACTATTATCGACGTAATAATTTGTAAATTCTGTACCATTTGTGAATTCGTTCAAATTTAAAATATTATCAGTGTAAAAATCTTCAACCTGGTCGTGATTATTAGCGGTATAATAATCATCCAGTGGTTCTAAACTATTAGCAGTATAATAGTTATTAAACGTTTCTTCATTATTAGCAGTATATTCGTTATAGAAAAAATCATCTACATATTCTTGAGGTTGATCGGAATTGATGTGAAAGGTTCTTTGGTTGTTTTGATTAAAATTTGGGTTAAATTGTGTATTAAAGGTTCTTTGATTAGTTTGAATGAAATTCAGGTTTGATTGTGTACCAGACGGTCTACTATAATTTACATTAGGAGTGGGCTTAATAACTGATTCACGGTTTTGAATTGGAGGTCCTTGTCCTCGTTGTACATTATAAGAATTATTTTGGAAAGGTTGAGTTTGGTTTGAGCCAGAAGAGCTCGGGAAATTCCCTGCAGAATTGTTTCTAAAATTTTGAGCTTGTCTTTGTCTAGTAAGGCATTCATTGATTGTATGGCCAATACGTTTACAAAATGAACACTGTTTGACAGGAAAAGTTGGTTTGCGTGTATTAACATTAGAACTAGAAGCTTGATTGGCATTATTTTTTGGGGTTTTTTGAAAGTCGAAATAACTTAACTGAAATTCGCGTTTTATTCTAGTTGCGGCTGAAATTATATTTGTAGGGTTACTTGCCCTGACAATATGTCCTATTTTAGGATCTAATCCGGTTAGTAAAGTATTTAAAACTAATGATTCCACGAGACGAGCTTGTGCGGTTTTTTGTTCTATGGTTAAAGACTGTTTACCAATTGCAGAATGCATTTTGGCCTCATGTGTTTGTAAACGCGCAATAAAAGTAAATGGAGTTTCGTTTGAAAGCTGACGCATTCTTTGCAAATCTTGAATAAGTGAATTTAAATCGCGCGTATCGGAAAAATGTGTTTCTAGCAAATCTTTTATATCGTCCCATGAATTAGGATCTCGTGAATTAATTAATTCAGAGGCTCTACCTTTTAATCTATTTTTATATGAAGAATTAGAAGCTTTTTTTGATCATTTATGCACATACGAATAGCAGTTTTGCAAGCACTTATGAAATTATTTAAGAAAATTTGATTTCCATCAAATTCCGGTTCTATTGAAAAGATTTCTGAAGGTTTGTACATTTCAACAGAAGGATTTGGATCTTGAGGGTTATTATTTGCTGCGGATTGACGTGTTTCAGGCATTTTAACTTGTTAGAAAAATATTCACAAAAATATGATAATAGAACGTAAAAATGTTGTTTCACAAAAAATATTAAAACAAAAGAGAGATTCTTACGTGAATGATGTTTTCATTTCCGTCTACTTAGATGAAATCAGGTTCCGTGAGCGTTGCTACACCAGGTGGGCCAATTGCGTGTTTCCGATGCCGGAGAGACCGTCCACAGTAGTTGAAATGTTGTTTCTTTGAGCGTTGTTCTTCCTTAAAGGTTAGGAAACACCACACTTAGTTAGGATACCCGTGTTCTAAATGTGTTGAGGAATCCTACTGACTGCGCCACTGTTATATCTTGAATAACACTAATGGTTTTTAAAAAATATTTTATTACTTAAAAATTATAAGTTGTTTATTGTAGGTGAGTTGTTATTAACTAACTGACTTTTAAGTTTGTGTCACCCCTATTTATAACATAGGTAAAACAAAAGAAATATCTAAAAGGTGTAATGTGACAAAAGTGTTGCATTTACGAGAAATGCAACTTGGCTGAATACAATCCTAGAGGTCAATGATAACCATTCTAGGAATTGCAACTAAGCATTATTTAACTCTAGAGAATTTACTATTAAATAATATATAGTGTGAATTTTTTATATAACATGTATTATGATACTTTTATCGATGTAATAAGGCCGTTGGCCTGTTTGGATACAAATATATATATATATAAGAGAGTTGATAGTCGTTGCTGACTAGTTAATAATTAAACCAGTAATTAGTGGGTAATGCAGCAAATGAAAGAGTACTTTTTTAAGTTTATTCCAAGCTTTCGGAAATGTTTATTTCCATCATCAGGGAGACTATATATATATATATATATATACACTTCATTCGGGTGTCCTTTTGATACAGATAATTTCGTAACAGCTATACATTTCACAAGCATTGTTCTGACTTTTTATAATATAGTTGTATATATGAGTTTTTTAGGACAAATTTAGATGATTCTTTAAGAAGAAATATCCTTCAAGTAAATTTAGACAAAGACAAAATAAAAGTAAATAAAAATAGGATAGGTAGTGATGACGAATCCGAAGATGATGAATCTGATGATGAATCTGATGATGATGATGACGAATCTGATGATGATGAATCTGATGATGGCAAGAAAAGCAACAATAATAATAAGTAAATATTTAAAACAAAAATTATAATATACATAATCTAGTTTTTTCTTATCCTCTAGGATAAACCTTGATGATTCTTGTGAAACTAAAGTTATGAGAATAAGTCTTCAAAATCTAAATTTGAGTAATAGCTGTGAAGAAGATAGTGATGATTGTTTTATTATGAAATCAGAATATGATAGCAAAACTAAGAGGTATTTTTTTAAAATAACTCCAATAATATTGCTCTAAATGAGAATAATTTTTAGCACTTCAAGAAAATCTACGTACACAAATAAAACCCAAAAACATTTAGATACAACTCCAAAAACTCAAAAATCTACAAAAACTAAAATATCTTCAAAGTCCTCAAAAGCAGAAAATCCAAGAAAATCTAAAAATAGAGCAAAACTTATTAGAGAGGGGGTGGTTACTCCCTCTATGCACGAGAGAAGTACAAAAATCAAGGGTGATTCTACTCCATTAATGAAGGCTAGAAGTAAATTGCATGTATCTTATGTTCCTGAATCATTGCCTTGCCGAGAAAAAGAATATTGTGATGTTTATAATTTTGTTGAGAGTAAATTGTTTGATGGATGTGGGGGGTAAGTTGTTTTTTAAGGATTTAAAGGAAAGTAAAAATATTTGTTACAAACTTGAAATTTTAAATTTTAGTTGTATGTATGTATCTGGAGTTCCTGGTACAGGAAAAACTGCAACAGTTACATCTGTAATAAGACGTTTGCAAGAGAACAGGAGTATTCCAAAATTCACCTTTGTTAATGTTAATGGTATGAGATTGTCAGAACCCCGACAATCATATGTAGAGGTAAATAAACATGATTTATTTTAATTCAGGAATATACAGTTTGTTTACTGTATTATAATTTTAAATAACTTACCAGAATGTTGTGAATAATGCTTTAACACTTTGGACAAATGTTGGATAATAAGGGAGATTTTATTTTTTAAAAATTTGTTATTAAGACTTCATGAGAATTAATTTATCATCAAATTTCTCCTGTTTAGTAATAGATTGTTATCATATCCTTGTGAGAGTATACACCATTGATTTTAAATGCTATATACTTCATAAAAACTCTTTGACATGACTCAAGTTGGACTTAAACATTGTATAGAGGAGACCATACCAACGAACCGTAGTCTAAACGGGATTTCATCAATGATTTGTATAATGTTAGGAGATGGTCTGCGTTATCAGCCTTTACTTGTGCAAAATATTAAACCAGTCGTTCGCTTCACTGCTAAATCAGTGTTATTAATATGTAGGATGAAATTCAATTGTGAGTCAAAAGATATGCCTAAATCTTTTGTTTCAGTTGCTTTCTTTAGAGGGGTATTGTTGATTGCATAATAATTGTGATTTATGTTTGAATATCTTATACTAAACGTTAATTGATGGTTGAAGTAAAATGTCCATATGCTGTAATATCAAATTCAACTGGATGGGGTGACTAAATTGAAAAAAATACTTAGTTTTTAATAATGTCGCCGATAATTTTGAAATTTGATCCAGCAAATATAAATTCAAATTCTTTTATTTGTACTAGGGACAATATACAAAGTGTATTGTGTTGTACACGTCAATATCCATAACTAAATATTACATAAAGATAAAGCTAAAAATTAAAATAGATGATGCAAAAATACCAACTGCAAGATGTAGTATTGTTATTAATAATTAATTATTATTGTGCGAGCTAGGTCGACTTACCAAGTAAGAATGGTGTATTTACCAAGACTAGAGGAAAACCTAGCAAAAGCCATAGTGCCATAATTTGCAATTGGTAATTAGATCAATCATACTGTTTACCACCACAGAAAATTAATACTGATAAATAGAAAAAGGAGAAAAAAAAAACTAAACTACTAAACAGCTAAAAAGGATCCTATCTTATTTCTAATCCTAACTTATTACATCCAGGTATTATCAAATACAATGGCAATTACATGTTACTGGACAAAAATATTTATTCACGGGATTACCCCCATTACAAAAAATTGACAATTTAAATATATCTTTTTAACTGCATAAAAACCACATTAAAATATATTGTAACACGAATAAACAAAAGTGTAATAATCACAGAAAAAAATGTTAATCGAAAGTGTTTTGTTACAAAATGTTCAAGCCCTTTTTAATTGATTTTTAAATTTAGAGAAAGATATACCAAATATTTCGATTTCATTATTTTTTTTCTTAAAGTATGATCTATAGGAGAATGTGTGCCATAGTTTGTATAGTGAAAATTAATATAAAAAAGTTCTGAATATCTTAAATTCCTGGCAGGTACATTTATACTTATTAATTCAAGAAGCTTCGGACAATTTATTAGACCGTGACAATTTATTAGACCGTGACAATTTATTAGACCGTTTAAAAGCTTAAAAACAAATACTAAGTCCGAATCTTCTCGTTTTTTACTTAACTTATCCATGTTAAGAGTTCTTAATACCGCTGTATAAACATGATCAGTGACATCTGTATTTAATCTGGAAGCACAGTATCTTAAATACCTATTCTGAACTCTTTCTAGTATTGTGCAATGATTTTGATGTTGTGGAAACCTAAAAAATTCTACTGCAAGTTGGTTTATATGCTCCACAAAAGACAATTGCTCATCAAATGCCACTTCCTTTATCCATCTCACATAAGACAGTTGATCTACGTATATTGAGTATAGAGTTAAATTTTTTATTTATTTTATAAAAACTTAAAAACAATACTTATCCACATTCAAATGCAATTTGTTATTTGAACACCAATTAGTTAAATTATTTAGATCCTCCTAAATTAACGCAAGGGTTCACCATTTCCGATTTCATTTAAATTCGGCTAAATGTATTAAAATGAATCTTCTACCAGCTTAAAGAATAAGGTTTGGAGAATGAAATCTCCTATTTAAACACTAAATTTAAAAAAAAAGAAACATAAAAGTGATTTTAAAACCAGAGCTAAAAAGTAGGAGATTTCAGTCTACATATTTTTCAAAGTACACCACCAAAATATTTCTAAATCTTATTGGGTATTTTTCAAATCTAAGCGGAAATACGATTAACAAATACATATATGAAAAATTTTCGTTATTAAAGTAGAGATGTTCTATGAATACCTGTAATTGTGTAGTTCATCTATTTTTAAGAAGATGTCACCATATAAAAACAATGTAGCCACTCTGTTTTAGACATGGTTTTAATAGGTGAATGATTGTTTAGAGGTACCAATTTTTTGGATCAGTGATACAGCTGTATGCTGTCTTTTACTATTTCGTCATTTTCATATATGTCTCGAACCAACTATGGACAAAGGGCATTGTCTGACCGTATTTGCCTAAACTATAATAAGTTTTATCCTGAATGTGTTAAATTCGGGTGCGAGTGACTGTGCTTAATATGTTTTTAGTGTTTTTCTATGTTTATATTTTATTCAATTTTTAATTTTACTTTAAGATTTGTCTACTACTTAGGAATTGTATTTCCTGTAACGTATGTGTTCCAATAAATAAATAAATCTCTTATCTCTAATTATCTCTCATTCCTAATGTATTCCCAGAAATATTTTGGATTACTATATAATTTTTTATAAGATTCAAATAATCTTTATAGCCTTGATTTGATAAGTTGTTACATATTCGTCTAAAAAATGAAAAAGTTTGATAATCATTTTGGTCACGTGTAGTTAAGTATTTTTTTTTGAGCAATTTTCTTTTGTTGAACATAAAACCTTAATTCAGCATTAAACCATTTTGGATAACTAGAAGTTTTGAATCGCTTAACTGGTACAAATAAAGACAGACATATTAAGTATATTGTAAAATTCTGATACTGCATCGTCCATGTTTGACAGATGAAGATCAATTCTCCAATCAATACTGCAAAGATAATTATTAATACCGGCATAATCTGAATTTTTAAAATCGTAATAGAATTCAGTGTACTTTATTGAATTATTTTGAGGTTCCTTTAAAGTGATGGTAAAAGTATAACTTATGTGATGACTTTTTTCAAAAATTGTATCAAGGGCTTGGACATTACTTACATTTGAGAAAATTTAAATCTAAAAACACAACCCTATCATTTGAAATGTCTATAAGTTTGTAAAATTTTAAGAAAGCGAAATGGCGAGCTAAGCAGAGTCCATTTGAGACTTGCGAACAATTTACCATAACACCACCCTCACTATTGTCCCAAATAGCCCCCGGTACATGAAAATCTCAAACAATGCTGCTCACATAATAATTCTGGCGAATTTGAAGGAATATACACACATCCAATAATAAAACTCTTTCTCAATTGAACATAGTAGAAAAAGCTGTTCAACAAAAGTATAAAGTGAATTTATGACATGAATATTAATATGTTCCTTTGTTGTAGTTAATATTCCACCTCTTCTGGATTTGTCACTAGAATTCTTACTACGATCACATTTGAAGAGTTTATAATTTGACATTTTAATTTCTGAGTCTGCAATATCATCAGATAACCAACTTTCAATCAAGATCAGTATATCATGACTGACATAATGTGGATTCTCTAGAAGAGCTACTTGCAATTTGAACACTCCTTGATAAACCCTCCAAATGAGAAAATATTGTTGGAAAGGCAATTAGCAGAAACTGAGATTTCATATTATTTTTTATCATTTTTTCTTCAAAATGTGCAGCACGCAGTCTAATTATCAATGAAATTAACATTTTCCTGCAGATCTTCTAGTCCCCTTGTAATTAATTAACCACATTCTTGCCCTAAAAACCAACATTTTTCAAATCGAAAAATATTGTATTGTTTATATTAACATAAAATTTTTATTTTAAACTTATGTAAATTTATGTAAATTTTAGTTAACTCACCTCACATTATCTTTTGAAAATCTAAAAATAGGTAGGTCACACTCATGCTTTATGTAGGCAATAACTTGTAGATCAAATTACTCCATCTTTTTGTTTGCACATAATAAGTCTATAAAATGCGAAGAAAACTTTAAAATATATAAATAAAAAAATAACTTATTATAATAATATGTAGAAACCAACTAAACATAATGAAATCCGAAAAATCAACGCCACCACTGAAATTTATACATAGCATAAATATAAAACTGTCGGATACGCCAATGATCACTCTAATCTGTGCTTTCTATTTCAAACGCATCGATAGAAATCTGACTTTACATAGCTTTAAAAAAGCCTTCAGAATCGTTATTTAAAAGCAGGACAAACATTTATTTGAGTATTTTTATTCTCAAAGTATTTCCTTTAATACCTTTCGTTTTAATCTAGCTACTATAACAACGCTCTAATATATTTATTTACAGGTACTTTTATGATTAATTTGTAGTATCGGGTCTTAATTTGGTTAATATTACCATTTGTTAAAACATTTAAAATACATTTCTTGTGCCTAACCCTGTATAAGTTGTAAAAAATAAAATCAAACTGTTTAGTCAAATTCCCTACTCTGTACAAAAACAAAATTAAATTCTTTTATAACTTCAAATAAAATTTATTTGATATAAGTAAGCAGGTGCCACACAATCAAGGACAATAAATACATCATATCTAAAGATAGAAAATATTTTACCAATAGATGTTCATAAAATATTACACTTTTGGCGTTTTTGAATTTTTTATATATTCCAAGTAAGACAATACAAATGCAAATGAGAAACATCACAATATTAATAATCACAGTGTACCTGTAATTGAGCTCGAGCTTACGCTATATGAGCTCTCCAGGCCAACATAAATTATTTAGAAATATAGAAAACAAAAAAATTAGAATTATTAAAAACATTAACATGTAGGAAGAAGAATAATTACAAGATATCTAAAAGAACTTAAGTTCTTAAGAATTTAACTTTAAACATTTATTAATTAATTAACCTTGAAGATACCTGCAAATATTAATTTCTTTAATTGTGTCGCAAAGGAAGTTGTTTGTAGAACTCGAGTTCTTTCTGGAATTTTGATACCATTACTTGTTAGGCTTCTCTGTCCCATTGATGTTTTCATTGTAACTACTTCTTGTGCTGCAAAACAAGGCAATAAAGAAAATCATATATACAGGGTGTTATTGAAATACACGTACATATTAAAATGGGGAATAGTATGTAATGACCAAAAACGATTGGCACCAATTTTAACTTCAAATTCTAAAATTTAAATATTGGGGAAGAGTCCCCTTTTCCGACCTACTAGTTTCCATATTTAAAGAAGTAAAATAAATCGAAATTGAACCTACCCATAGAAATTGCACTGTTGCCGTAGCAAAACCAATTAATTCAAAATAAAGTTTATTACAGTATTTGTTCAAAATGCCGTCCATTATTATTTACACACACTTGCAATCGTCTTTCCAAAGAACTTTGAACATTAGAAATTAGTCTTGGATTTTGTCGTAGTTCCTCGGCTACCGCATTAACTTTATTGGTTAATTGTTCAACACTATTAATAGGTTCATTATAAACCAGTTGTTTCATGTGACCCCACAAAAAGAAATCGCATGGATTTAAGTCCGGAGATCTCGGAGGCCACTTAGTAGGTCCATTTCTGCCTATCCACTTTTGAGGAAATCTAATGTTCAAAAACTGCCGTACGTTTAAATCAAAGTGTGGAGGAGCGCCATCTAGTAGGTACCACATCCGTTGCCTTAATTGTAACGGTATCTCTTCTAGGAGTACTGGCAAAATATCTTCTAAAAAGTGGAGATATCCTGGCCCATTTAATCTGTTCGGGAGAACATAAGGCCCGATTAAATACTGATCTATTATGCCAGCCCAAACATTTATTGAAAATTTTCTTTGATGCCCAGTTTCCCTTATGGCGTGAGGATTTTCATCACTCCAAATATGCGTATTGTGCATATTGAACACGCCATCACGAGTGAATGAAGCCTCGTCAGTATACAATAATATTTTTAGAAAATCAGGAATATCAACACATTTTTGAATCATCCATTCACAAAACTCCACTCTCTTTTCTTCATCACCTGGATATAAGGCCTGGACTTTTTGGATGTGATAAGGATGTAAACCTTGTTCTTTAAGTGTCCGCCACACAACAAATGAGGACACTCCAATTTCAAGACCTAGTCTTCTACAACTTAATTGAGGCCGGTTTTCAACAGCTTTCAATATTTCTTCTTCGGCCGCCAATGTTCTTTGTGTTCTTGTTCTCCCTCGATCTGCATTGACACTCTCAAATTTTCCATGGTCCCTTAGATGCTGAACAGTTGAAATAAACGTACGACAGTCCGGAATTCTCCGATTTGGAAACCGTTCGCGATACAGGATTTGTGCTTGCCGAGAATTTTCTCCAGCTGCCCCATAAACCAGCACTATATCCGTTAGTTCAATATTCGTAAATAGTGGCATCGTAAAAAAATATTTAAAAGTAATCGTAACAACACTTTTTACCAACTTGGAAATGACGCGCTCGTGTTAGCCAGATTCGTAAATCAACTAAAATTTTAATAATCTATAGTTTCAAAAATGTATAGTTTAAAAACAATCATTTATCAAATATTCTAGTTTTTTGATAACGAGGGTAGTAAAAACCAGTCTTCGGAAATAGAAATTAATTCGAAAATCTTGGCAACATGGTTATTTCTTACAAGACTAGTTTTCTTATCATCTGACAAAAACTTGCATATTAATTACTGTTGATGTTTAAAATAGGTAAATAAACCTAATTTATATAGGTCATCCTCAACATATCAGTGAAGTACGTTTGTTTTAGAATTAATTTTCAAAAATTAATAACTCCCTTAATAAGGGGTATTTTTAAAAAATAATATTTTTCTACATTCAGTGGGGATCTGCGCAATACCCAGTTTTAATATGTACGTGTATTTCAATAACACCCTGTATATATATAAAAAAAGGTGCCGATATCATAGTCTGCAGGTCGATAAATACCACCAATTACATAATTAATTTTTTCTATATGGATAAAGAGCATTGAACATTTATCTTCAACTTTGGAGATTATTTTGTATGGATAACATGTTTTTATTAGAATTCCAACACCATCCGTTAGTTTGTTCTATAACATTCAGTTATTTTAAAAACAAAAACTCATAAGCATGCACAAAGAAATATAGAGTGGTCTCCAAAAAATGTATCTAAAGCAGATATTTGAAAAATTAAGGCATGTCTGAGCGTGCAGTTCTTCTTTTTGAGTGTCATTTAGGATTCATAGTTATCAGGGACATGATTCTTATCTTTGTTTGTCAAGGTCTACTTTAGAAACTTTTTTGTGAATCTCTTTATGAACATTATTCAGCGACCTAAAGAATTTCGAAAACACTAAACTAATATTAAAAAAAATCAAGTTCAATTTAAAATTTTATTTTTCAAAGTAGCACAGGGGCACGCTTCGTATCTAGGGGCCTTTTAGAACGACTTTAAGAGAACAAGGACCACAGAATAGGTTTTCTTTTTATTTTATTTTCACCACAACACAATATGATAAATTGTCGATAAATTCAAATGATTGCAGTAATTCGGTAACCATAATTTTGTTATATTTATTGATTAAAAAATCATATTGTCACGCTTCGTATAAATTCACATTTTTCCTAATTTTAAATAATTATTTAAATAACATCCTGTACATTAAACTTTGTTTAAGTATGTCGACAATTTGTTTTGAATCGCATGTGCAAGGTTGATTATTAAATAATTATTAAATATTAGTTTTAATAACAATAAACTATGAAAAAGTTATGAAGGTGATGTCGAGGTGATGCGCATAGATTTTTCCACAGGGAATGGATCCTCCCCATAGGAGGTCCCCTTTGTAGGAGATTCTCAGAAGCAGCTCCAGCTCATGATCTTCATAGTCTAACTTAAAAGTCTTTATTTTGTATTTTGAATAATTGCATTTTTCAATAGTTAGCTAAGGGTTGTGACATGTGCCCAAATATTAGTGGAGTTGGTAAGTTTACGTTTTGTGGACTTATTATTACATTGAGCCCATATTTGTGTATCAAGCTGTGACCTATTTTGTATCCTATTTTAATTATAATATTATATTTGTTTTGAGAAAACATTGTGTTTCCTTCAGCCCTTTTACAGAGACGTGTTAGGTTCTTACATCAAGAGTAGAACCCTTATACAGTTAACGGCTACTAAGCCAAGTTTAAGGCAATATAGAGTTCTTAACGTTATGTAGGCCCAGAGTATGAAATTTCGTTATTCAACCCCCGGGACTTAGATAGTCCCATAATTATTTAAGAACACATTCATTGCGACACATTTAATTATAAAAACACGCTTAATGTGACAATATCTCCCTTATTCAACTTTCGTAAAGATGTTTTAGATGTGTAATCACGTTTCAAAAATAAAAAAATGTAAAAACTTTGTTAAAAAATAAAATATATTTTCAAAATAGAATACTATGTAAAAATATTTTTTAGATTTTAAAACAACTTAAAGGAATAACTCTATCATGGGAACAAGCTCAAAATACTTTGGAAGACATGTTTGTTAAGCAGAAAAAGATGACGCCTACTGTTATGTTGATAGATGAAGTAAGTTTAGTTCTATAAGTAAAATTATTTGATATGATATCAGCTTACTTTTAAAAATATTTCTATGAACTGCAAATAATTGTAAAAGGTATATTTTGATATATAGTTTTGATTTTAGTTGGATATACTATGTACAAAACGCCAAGATGTTGTTTACAATTTGTTAGATTGGCCAACAAAAGCTAAAAATCAGCTCATTGTAATCACCATAGCAAATACCATGGATTTACCTGAGAGATTATTAATGAATAGAGTTACTAGTCGTTTAGGTCTGACAAGATTGACATTCCAGGCTTACACTTACAAGCACTTGCAAGAAATTGTTACGAAACGTTTATGTGGTACCAATAGTTTCAATTATGATGCTGTACAATTCGTTGCAAGGTAACTATACAACATATTGTTTAACAATTAATTGATCACCAACATTTCTAGTACAGTTTATGTACTGAATCCATATGCTACAATGATTATTAGATCGGTAGAATATCAATATTTTAGCAACCCCATATCAAACCATCCCTAACGTTCCTTTTTCAAATATCACATGTTCTTTTTTTATTAATATGATACAGATTTTTACCCTCATTTCAATAAAATACTTTCTCTTTTTTTTTCTTAGTACTCCCCGTAAAAGATTTTTAGTTATTAGCTGGTGTACTGTTATTAATTACATATTAATCCTATATTGTCAAAAACTCATTTGGAAGTCACTGTCAACAAAATACCAAGATTTTGATTAATTTCCTTTTTATGGTATATTGTTTTTGAGACTTTCGGATCTTATTTTGACTATTTTTATGAATTAGTGTCCTAAAAAATAATCTCTTTTTTACCCAACAGGTAATTCCATTTCTACGACTATATTCTATAAAAATAAAAAAATAATATGCAGCACATTATTACTATAAATTATTTTATTAATAATTATTTCCAAACCACTCCAACTGGTAGGTACTGTAAAACCCATTCTTAAAATAAATAATACCATTAAGGCTAGGGAGTTCCGACCAATAAATACTTTTGGCTTTTCTATTAGAAATAATTGTTTAGATGGAAATCGGGTAATCTAAGTTTGCACCATCCCAGGAGATGAGCATAACTTTTGGTAGCCAAAAACCTGTCAAATTTTGGCACTTTTTTTCAGTTTTTAGCTTGTAGCTGAAAAATGATGCGTTGGACATAAAATGTCATTCTATTCAATATTAAAAAGGACTAAATTCTCCGTCGAATGATAACTAAAACCCAAAATCAATAGAAACGGGGAAAAAATTTTCATTTCGGTGCAAACTTACAATTTGCGGCTTTCTAAAGCAAGTACTCTTCTGCAAATGTGATGTTCACTGAAACGATGACCGCGACCATGCCGAATGAACAATTTCTCTCCAACGACAATAATAAAGAACGGCTTATTTGCATGCTACGTGAGAAATTGGTACAGCATGGGTACACCCTTATTGTCAACACTGCAATTCAATTGGCAGATAACTTTGCGACGGTCATCATAATCGGGGAAGACACCGATTTATTGATCTTATTAACCGCCAAAGCACCAAAATCATTAAACATTTATGTCATGACACCTGGAAAGGGAACCTCTCAGAACACGCCCTGCTCTCCCAGGTACTTCAACTTTCTCATCTGTTGTCAAACAGAACCTCCTGTTCTACATGCAATCAGTGGGTGTGATACAACCTCTGCATTTTATCGGCTAAGGGAAGTTGAAGTTTGTCAGGCTCCTTCAAAAGAACAAGACATTACAAGATACTTGTCAACCTTTTTCACCATGAAGATGTTGATCCTGAGGTTCTCATTTCAGCAGGTCAACTTTTCAGCAGCCCTCTATTCACCTAACGCAGATGAGACTTTCTTGGACAAAATCCGCTACTAGATATTTTCAAAATCCCTACCTAAGAGAGCCAACTTTTAATATGGCCTCTCTACCTCTAACAAATGCAGCTGCCGCCCAACATATTCTGTGCGTGTACCTTCAAATCCAGAGCTGGTATAATAGACCAAATGATCCTCTCAGCTGGGGCTGTCTTCCCATCATAAACACCAAGGTTCCAGCTCCAGCTGAAATTCTCAAAACAGTGTTCTGCAAATGTACGAATGAGTGTACAGGGAAGTGGAACTGCCGAAAAGTAGGCATGAAATGTTTAACATTATGCCTCCACTGCTATGACCAGTCATGTTCGAATTCAGCACCATTAGAGGATGAGGCTGCGACCCACATTGCCGTAGAAGCAGAAATAGGTGAGGATAGTCCCTGTAAAGATGATCCCGATGAAGAGGGCTTCGATATACAACCTCACCTTCAGAGCTTCTCAGATGAAGGGCCATTGACATCTATGTTATAATAATATGTTATGTTGGGAATGAGGTGTTAATACACTACGACCTAAAAGATCTGTTATGTCCCCTTCTGTCTCTAATGCAGCAAGGAAATGTCTCAATGCCTATAACGACCCTTCTAATCCTACCTTCACAAGGTATAGTGCTACACATTAAGTCAGAATGTGAATGGATGTTTCGTCCTCCTCCTCACAGAATCTGCATCCATTATCTTCTACTACTTTTAGTTTACTAAGGTGTCTTTAGAATCGGCAATGCCCAGTAAGGACCCCTGTTACAATGCGTAGCCTGTTTTTGCTCAGGCAGATGCAGGCTTCCGATCCTTCCTTGTTATATCCACCCTGAAGTATCAGAAGTGTCTTAGTCACAAGAGATTGTTCCAATTATCGGTTCTTCTACTGCCCAATTTTTTTTTAATCTCCCAATATTGTGTTACTACTGATACCGCAGAATGGCTCGGGTCCCACAAAAGTCCTTTCTTTGCGAGACTATCTGCAATCTCGTTACCCTGTACCTCGTTATGTCCCGGGACCCAAGTGAGAGTAACTCTATTTTCCTCGCCTAGCTCATTTAATTTTTCTAGGCATCCCCAGACCATTTTTGAGCTGATTACGTAAGGGATCAGAGCTTTGATGGCTGCATGCCTATTGAACATAATGATAATCTCTTGTCTGCGATAGTTTCTCTCGATGTTACTATTAGACTTTCGATGGTAGCAGCCATGGTGTGACTCATTACTTTTGCAGCAGCTGAAACTTTCATTTTTAATTTACTATTTCTATTGATATCAAAAAAAGATTCTCTAACTTTATGTAATGCTTGAAATTTTTTAGTTTAATCAAGATAAAAAGCTTGTTTAATATAATTAAATTTAGCACATCTAGAATTATTTTCAAAATAAATATAATTAAATAAAGCATTTCTTGAACATTTCAAAAGGTGGGGAAGATCATATAAAGTAATTATCCTTTTTCCATTAACAAAAAAATAAGGACCAGGTTTTTGAACATTATTATCTGCTCGTAATTGTTTCAGTGCTGTTCGGTTTGTATTCCCCAGATCACAGTTGCCATAACATTTAATCCTACTTTTTGGAACTCTAAAATGACTTCTATAAGAATTAGTTTCAAATCTTCAGTTTTAACCTGATCTTTAGTGAAGTAATAAGCCACTGGCTGCTTCCATGCTTTTCGTAAGCCATTAATCACAAAGGCCAGTGCATGATCAGCCGTTTGTAATTTTCTTCCCAAATTTTTACCAAGGTCTACGAACCCTACTACTTTATCACTAGCTACATCCAAAGTTAATTGTTCTGTAAGAGCTATTTCGTCAAACAGTAACACACAGTTCCTATCAATTTGCTTCATTTTAGCTACCCTCTCCTTGAGCCTCTTAAAAATTGATTCATTAATGCCCGTTTCAAATGGCACTGACCTTAAAAGTGACTGCAAAGTGGTTTTACTAGGTAAAGCAATGAAACGTTTTAAAAAATTATAAGCTCTGGGGCCCTTTTTATATAAAGCTAATGACATGACTTTATCAGATGTTGACCAAGAAGGCTTCGTCTTTTTTGAATTAGATGTAGTACTTTTTAAAAAGCTCATGCCTACAGGATCGAGCTTTGAATTAAATTCTTGAAAAATCTTTGACTCTGAAATTTTGACTGCATTTTTAACATTACGTTTTGATTTAATTAGGGCCTTCTTTAATTTGCAAATGTTACTGTTTGTTTTCTATTAATAAAATAAAGTTTTTTCTTTCTAGGAGATAAACTATTGACTCGAGTTTCATTAATTTGATTTAAAAATCCATTATCTAATCGTTGCTTTTTAGGCAGCGATTATATTTCATTGGATGAAAAACTATCATTGAAATTTTGATTATTAAAATTTAAATTTCTTTTTACAGGAAATTTATTTGGTGGTGTGACAACAATATTATTTAGTACTACTATCTTTGGTGTTAATTGAGGTTTTAAGGGTGCCAATGGCAAAGCAAATCGAATGAGCCTTGTACGATTAATGTTTGCAAACGATTTTTGATCAAAATGATCTTCACACAATCTATAATGATTTTTTGCAAGTGGAATGTTTAATATGTGGCACCATTTTTTTCTTTGCTCAAAATCTGAAGGAAATTTAAAAAAGTGTGTGTTCTTAAAATTTACATCATAAATGGGCCAGTAAAATTTACTATTACAATTTGATATTATGCATTTATTATGAATAGGGCCTGGTAAAGACATGTTAAAGCATCAAAATACTTTTGCTTAATTTTAAATATTCCTAAATTAACTTATGCCTAAAACCTAAAACTAAAATTAAATAAATAAACCTACTCACATGTTTTATTCGGCAACCATAACCATATTGTTTGTTTTTATTGCATCGGGATTGGGAGGCAACTTCAAAGCCAGATTTACATTGCACAAATAATTGAATAAATTCAAGTTTTTTAAATAATTGTATTAATATACAATTATATAATTTTAAACAATAATTTTCGAGTGTTATTTTTGTTTCTAAGCGAATTATTATTGAATTATTAAATTATTCAGTGTACTTTAAATTTAAATATCATTTTGTTATTGTAAAACGGACTGATATGCGCGGATGTGTTGCGCACTAACCTGTTGATATAACGCGCATATGTTATAAGCCCCCCTGGTTCTCTCGTTAGATAATCGTTTTTCCCAGGTAACGCTGGGAGGGTTTTTCGAAATTTCAATTTTTCACTTTTTGGGAACACTTTGAAGTAAAAAACACGATTCTTGCGAAAAAAAAAAAAAAAAAATTGGCTTATTTGATATTATAAAATAAAAAAAAATATTAACAAATTTGAAAAAATCTCCGTTCCCTCGTAAATTATGTACAGAAATAGTGTTCAAAATTTCAAAAGGATAGGTGCAGTAGTTTTTAAGTTATGAGGGGCACCGACTTTGGAAACGTGAGTTGTGGGAAAAACGCTTTAAAGTTTTGAACACTAAAAAATTTGAAATAAAACGTTCATAAGCGAGTTTATCCGCTTATCTCACACTGAATCATCGATGCCAGATCCATAAAGGATGTTGCTATCATTCATGATGTCAAAAGCATCTTTTTTGCTCCTGTCTACGACGAATCCTCATTCATGCGCGCTTGATCCACTACTGATTCACATGTCTTGCATGTAGGTTAGTAAACCTAAACATAAAATGGGCTGTGAGCAATAGTGCCAGTGTAGTTCAAACAGAGCTAACGGGGATTATCATAGCCGCAAAAGAAATAACCAGAAACAATATTACTGGAAGGAACATGCTTATCTATACAAATAGCAGACAAGCACTACTCACCCTGAACCATAGATAAATTAATAAAGAAGATAGTCGGGTCCCGTGTTAATTTTTGGAAACAAACAGTACTGCGAATTAGTATGGAACGGATTTTTTTTAACTACACTGGGCTGATTGACTTGCCAGTTAGAGGCCGAATAAGAAAGAAGAATAAAAAAAGAAGAGCTTTAAGCGAACCGCGGTTCATTCAAATATAATTTATTATTTATTTAATTTTTTTGGCATTCATTACTCTAAAAAAAAACTAATATTTACATCAAAATAATGCATTTAACATAAATATTAGTTTTTTTTCGTAATAAAACCCCAAAAAATATAAACAAAAAATATTTACATTAAAATAAAATATTTGAAACATATATTTTAATTATTTATTATACAGTAATACATACGTACATGCGCTCAATAGTAAATAACAATTGTAAGTAAAATGAATAGTAGGTAATCTATTCTTGGAAAAATGGACCATATTTTGTTGGGTGTCCTGTGTTTCCTATAAAAAAAAACAAAAAGTGTACATATGTCTTATTGAACAATTTCTCTTATCAAATATTAATAAAATACAACTTTTTCTTTTTAGGACTTCTGACTACTTTTATTTATTTATTGTTTTTCTTCCTTTCAAGGGTCGTTCAAATTGTTCATCACTAATTATTAAGTTTGCAACTAATTTCTTGTTTTTCTTATGCTGCTATATTTGTGCTTCGGCCTCAACTTATTCTAAAATCTAATTCTCAGGTTGTATATTGGAACTGGATACTGGATGCACAATTATCTAATGAAATTGGTACAGAATGTCCAACTAACAGTTTACGTTTTGATGAAACCCTACTAAAAGACTGGTCCGCACAAAGATAGCGAGTATTATTATCCAAAGTTAAATTTAAAGTCTTAAACCAGTTCTGGCAAATTTTAATATGGGAAGGAAAATGAAAAAGGTTTAATATTTGATTATCCAACTTTCTGAATTTTAGAATAATACTTATTTAAACAATTAGGAGCTGAACAAGAATACTCTCGAGAATACTTGACTATACCCGGGCCAGACATTTCTTGTTTCAAATATAAAAACAGAATTGAAAATCTATGAAATATGAAATTATATAAGGTTAAGAAAACAATGATAAACAAAGTCCTTAAATAAATCTACACACCTTTAATATTAAATTAAATTGCTAATACTTACTAATTACATCAAATCAACACTGTTTACCTTCTTAAAAATAACTTGCCGATCTTTAGACCTTTCATCATAATTCATAAAATAAGTTTTAACATTTCATTATCATATTTGGCCTTCCGCCATCACGGTTTTTCATTTTTTACGAGGTTGTCAACTCCTTCTTTTAAAAATCCCAGCAATAGTATGGACATTGTATGGATACTATGGTGCGCATGTAGATTGATAAAAAAATTAAAGTAAGATGAATTTGAAATAACTCTCATCTCATGAAAGTTTACGGAAGCCGGCAACATCGCTTTCATTCTATTGCGACGGTGGCGCTAACTAATAGTATGCTGGGAACTACCACGTGTTGACAGTGGCGTGCATTTAAAAAATTCATCCTGTTTTATTAATTTATCTATGCCCTGAACAGACCACGAATTTATTCAGGGTTAGTTCTAGAATGTCACGAAGCTTTGGCCGAAGTATTTGGTCACCTTAAGATGGATTAAAGGTCACGCCACATCGAAAGGTGACCGTCTTGCTGATTCACTAGCCAAGAAAGCAGCCAACCAAATACTTTTTTTGGATCTGGCCATTCTATTGGCCTGACAAAATCGACAGTGACAGACCTAATCAAAGAACATTCCCTTGTGAAATTCAAGGAAAGATGGGATGAAACAAGAGTTGCCAGGGAGCTCTTAAGTTATCCTGTTGTCCTGACAACACTGCACCAAACAAATACTTGACTATAACAGAATCTGCGCCTAGTCACAGGCATTCTGACTGGTCATTGCCAAGTACGAAAGCATTTCCATATCATGGGGCTGTCAGAATGCGCACTCTGCAGAGGGTGCGAACAAGAAGATGAGACCATCGAGCATATTCTTTATGATTGCTCGACGCTCTCATTTATTAGAAGATTTGTGTTCGGCGAGTATCGGCTAACACCGGCCGATATAAGAGAAGCACCTCTTGGCGACGTTGTCAACTACATTAAATCTGTTGGCGAGGTGACGACCTAGGAGGTGCCTATCTTCTCAGGAGGATGCACAATGGGCTTAATGAGGCCTAAGTGCCGTGGGGTAACCCACCCTCCACACGTTATAGATACAGATGTAGGTTAGTAAAGCAAAAGGACATGCCAGGCCAATGCTACACTAAATTATATACAATGCAGGTATAAACACGTTTGTACTTGTGTTAAAATTTCTATAAAGAAAGGTAGCAGGTAAGGTTAGGGATTATATAGAGAGCGAAACAGCTGCCACGCAAGGCGGCTCCGAGACGTATTTTCGGTAGGGGCCATTGCCTTTAGCCATTCTCTTTTTAGCATATTTTTTTTGAATAAAAGGCTCATAAATCGTAAGAATTTTCATCTCGGGGTGGGGACATGGCCCCATAGCCCCCCCCCCCCTGGAGCCGCCCTTGCTGACAGGTAACAATAGCGCGCTAGGACCGGGCAGTTATTTTCTGATGCGCTGTTTCATGTGTGCGGCGCGGTTACTCAAACCGCTGTATCTTCGTTAGTTTTGCACCGATTCATCTCAAATTTTCACACAATATTCTTGAACGGTTTTCCATTCACAAAATCAAATATAAAAAATGCAAAAAAAAGTTTAAAAACTTTACTCCCCTCCCCCCTTAAAACAACTAGATCTAATTTTTATAAAAAGTCAAAGTAATTAATTTATAAACAATTGTTTCCAAGGACAAATCATTCTAATTCTAATATTCTTATACTTATTATCCCTTCACGGCCTTTACCCATATATTTCAATCTCGAGTAGTTGTAATGCCTATTTCTGGTACAATAAACCAGCCTTGAAACACGCCCTAATTCATATAGATATTTATGCACATTCCAAAAACTCTATATACAGGAACCAGGAATACCTAAAACAAAAATAAAGGCGCAGTGTATTTTAAATTAAAAATTAACACAATTTATAACTTTTTCAAATTCTTACATATTTTCTTGCAATAAAAGGTATACAAATTTCAATAAAAATATAAAACATCTGGTTTATGATCTTAATAGGTGAACCATGTAAAAATTAAGAAGTTGAAAATTATCATATTAATGTTTGAACATATTTCGGTATTATTTGATAAATATAATAATGAATATTACCCAAAAATTGAACAATAACGTTTTGAGCACAAATCATTCGCCTTTTTTTCATCATGGTCTTTATGAGTAAAACTATGATGAGGTTCTATCTCGGGTTCTACAATATCTGTTTGTAAATTGGCTTCACACATTTCACTCACAACTCCTTTCTTTTTTTTTGACCACAAATATTTAAAATGTTGATCCATTTATCTCTAAGAGTAATAATAACAGCAAGAAAAATATAAAAGTTCTTGTTAGTTTTGTGAGAAAAATATTTACTTTTGCAATTAAAATTTAAATGAATCAGAAGTTAATGACATTCTTAAGAACCTCACTATAGTTATAAATTAGTTAAATCTAACTTTCACTAAATTAATACGATTTACTCACCTACATTTGAAAAAAAAATATCACCTACATTTGAAACTGAAAATAAAAATAATGTCGGACTGACATATTTATGGCAACATTTTCAAATCTAGATTTACACTATCTCATAATATTTAAATTTAGCTTTAACTTTACATTTATTTACAATTATCCCTGTATTTGATCACACCTTATATTAAAGTGAAATTTAAAGGGTAAATCAGTAAAATTATTGATTTCTTTGTCATTATTTTTGAAAACATGTTTTTTTTATTTAATTTTAATTTAGTGACAGCAGCGCGTTAAGCGTTTACGGTTGAACTACCAACAAGGAAACAAGTCCCGTCATTTATTCAAACCTTCTGTTTTTATTTTTCTACGATTAAGACTCTTCAGCAAGAAATGAACATTCTCAATGTCTAACGGAAGCTGTAGTTGGGTAAAATTCACTTGTATGTTGGTTGGGTGAAATCTATAGACCAAGGACAATTCACCAATTTTAATAAGATTGGAGTTGTTAAGTGGATTGCTCTCATTTGAATGTTATCAAGAATAGAAAGTGTTGTAGTAGCTGCGGTTCCTGGCATATTTATGTGTAAGCAGTTATCGAGGTTATATAACATAGTTAGATCGAATAAAGCATTTTCTTGCTCAAAATTTAATGAAAGGGGCGGATAGATTAGTTTTTGCCATTATGAATTAGAATTTTTGTGCTAAGATTGGCTGCTTTAGTACAAAAAAAAAACACATTGCTTTTATTATTGTACCTTTTTCTGCTTTTTGTGTAGATGATTCAACATATTATATTTTTTGTTAACAGAAAAGTTGCCTCAGTGTCTGGTGATGCCAGGAGAGCTTTGGATATCTGTAGGAGAGCAGCTGAAATTGCAGAAGCAAATGGGAAAGAACAATTAGTTAATATGAATCATGTTAATGAGGCACTCAGTGCTATGATTACTCAACCAAAAGTGTTAGCTATTAAAAGTTGTTCTAGACTAGAACAGCTAGTTTTACAGTCTACTGTAGCCGAGGTAAGTTGAAAACCAAAACATTGAATCTTCTGACAATAAATTTACTATTTGTTCAAATGTAAAGTAACCCCTTAACTTTAAAGCCGATTTAAATGAATTTTCAAAAAACAAATTAACAGAATGTTTATGACTAAAAAACTCTGAAATCTGCAATAAAAAAAAAAACATACATTTTTTCACAACCCAAAATAACAAATTAGACATTAGATACGTTATTTATAAAACTATTTTTTATATTTTGAAATTACATATTTTGTCTCAGTTTCAACCGTATTTTAGAAATATACCTCTCATTTGACGAAAAACGAAGGCCTAAATGAAAAAAAACTATTCTTTATAAAAGTTTCGCCTATGTATTGACAAGGTAAAAATACTTTCCTCATATCTGTTGCTTTTAAATTAACAAAAATATTGCAATAAACCATTAGTGATGTCATGGTTTTACTAGAAAGCAAACATTAAAGGCAGAGCATATCGACTCTTTATGCATCTATCTCAGTATTGAAATGTATGCAATCAGTTTGACCCCTCTTATATTATTTTATACAGGGACCATTGATTTATCCACCATGTTTAATAGGGTGTACTAATTACTTCAAGATTTCTTTTTTATTTTTAATGTAAAATGAAAATAAGAAAATATAAACTATTTATTAAAGGTATTTATTGAAGTATCAATTATAAACAGTAAGGCTATTGCTTTGCAAAATACAATAAATCCCCAATATAAATAAATTATAATAATAATAATAATAATTGGAAGGAAGTATATAAAGCATAAATTAATAATATTAAAATTTATAATTACAAGATTTTCAAACTAATCAGAATTAGATTCACCACACGAATCAACATTTTCCAAAACATTAGCGGCTGTGGTCAAACTATTTCTGCAGTTTTTCTGTGCCATACAGGTGCAGGAACCGATACAGTAAATATTTTTTTTCCTGCATTTGCAAATTTTGCTTCCACAGTCTAGAACAGAATATTATTGTTAGAATATTGTATAGTATGTTTTTTGCATTTGCATGATGTAAGTTCTGTTATGTCTGGTGGCAGGTCGGGCAGAGTCTTAAAAATGGGTATCAGACTTCCATCTTGATCTACTTTCCATCCATACTCTTCAACATTAGGAAGCTGCATCTGGGTTTAAAGAGGTTAGCCAAATATTTAGCTGGTAAAAACGTCTTAAACAATGTAGTTTTAGGGCTTCTTCAGTCGGTGGTAATTTAGCGATGGTTTTTGAAGAGGTCAATAATCCCCTCAAAATGTTAATGAAAGTAACATTGGCAGTTTTGAATACATTTTTAGGAAAATTCTTTCAAGATTAGAGAATATGTTTTCAGAGTACTGATCAGTGCCAAATCCATCCAAAAAGTAATGGTTTTCAAGGTAGGTTTTCCAACAGGTTTTGTTCCCAATGCCGGACAATTAAATGGTTGTATCACAACCGGTCAGAATGAAAAGCAGGCATATTTTTTAGAAGGTTTTCATCCAAATTTAAATAATGTACTGCTAGAAATCGTCTTGAGTCTCCTCGCCCTGTTCTGAACCATATATCTTTAGTCAAAAACTTCTTAAAATAAATTAATAAGACATCTGTATCGTTGCAATAAATAATGCAGCGTGAATGCACCGAATTTTCGGCTGACAATATGTGCAATGAGATACGATTATTAGCGTCTTCGTGATTTAAATTTAAAAAAATCGTCTTTTGATGGTTCAAAATTATTTCCATATTTATTGATTTTCGCGAATCCACCACTAGTTAGAAATTGAATATGCTTTTGCTGAATGGAGTTTTGAAGAAGTTGCTCTGGCAGAAAATGTGTTAAACGTCTTTTGTTAAATATCTAATGAATAAACAAGTTCTATTGTTGCGGAAGTGGAATATTGGGTCGGTCAATTTCTATATCAATTTATTTCTGAAATCCTCTCTTTTGACGTGTTGTATTTTTGATAGAATGTCCTTTATAATGATCAAATACCACATCTATCATTTGAGTATTAAATTTATTTCTAAAAATAATGTTTACAAATATATGAGCATATTCTTTAAATGATATGCAACTTTTGGGCTTTCCTATTTTGATATAATTTTTGTCTCTGCTACTTGCAGCAACAAATCCGTAATTAAAATTTTAAACGAAAACTTATAACTTACCCAAATATATTTAGCTGCAACAGGATGAATGTAGATATAATAAAGATGCAAAAATGTCTATATTTTTTCCCAATTCATTAGGTAATTTAATATATAACACATACACTTATTAATTCTTTAGTAAAAACAGATAATAATATGACACATTGCCCTATGGAACATAACAAGTTTTATAATAAAAAAAATGAAAAATCCTACCATATCAATAATGTGATACATCAGCCCGCACGTAGAGAGAAACAGAGCTATGCTACGTTTGAAGGTGAAGAGAAAGATACACTGAGAGTCGATAAATTTGACGGTAAGAATTAATTACAGCATAAACCTATGACATCTCTCATCGTTTATTGTTATATCTTTGTTAATTCAAAAGCAAAAAATATAGTGGTTACTCTGTTACCTTCTCAACACATAAGCAAAAATTTTATAAAGAATGTTTTTTTTTCATTTAGGCCTTCGTTTTTTGTTAAATGAGTGGTATATTTAAAAAAGACGACTTTTTAACTAAATTTTTGAAGGGCTAAAACCAAGATATTTACGTTTATATTTTTTTTCGGCCGTAAGTGCTAATGCAAATGATTTTTTTTAAATAAGTATAAATAATTACTCCCTACAAAGATTTTATTGTGCATTTGACCAAAAAATTAGTATTTTTTTCTCTATTCGGCGGTATCAATATCTGGATTTTTGATGATAGTGCCCTTCTGCACAGTCTAATTTTGTATTAACTCCGGAAAAAGGGTTACCTTATCATGACCTTTCATCTGTGAAAAATTCAGCTATGTGACAAAAGAGTGGGAGGTGAATCGTTTTCTTGAGCGAATATTTTAATACATACACTTTACTAACAATGACAACAGCGGATATTATACCCACAATATATTGTGATTATACCCTACTGTGTCCCTTAGAATATGTCTTATTCACGGCCGCACGATATTTGTTAATAGTTACATCTCCTGGTTATCTCTGTATCCAATCCACTCAATTTTAGAATATGTTTTAACCATCTTCCGATTGTTTGCGCGGTAGCACTATGATATGGTCTTTTGACTGTGATAAACAAATTCTTTGTAGTTCCCCTGAATTCCTTTGTCATATCCAAATAACTTAATAGAGTTTTTGCAGGGCAAATTTTTTCATCCAAATCAAAAAATGGAAGAATTAGAGTGGGTTGGATTCTAACCTTACTTGTGGTTTTAATTCTATTTGGAATTTTAATTTCAATTCTTTCTTGATGTTGGATAATATTCTCAACTTCTATATTTACCAAAGTCTGAATACGTTGTCCTGTGGCAAGTGCCACGAGTATGGCTAATTTATATGTTAAATTTTCCAGTGACAATGGAGAGTTTGACATTTTACGTATATATGACAAAACTATAGCCGGATCCCATGTGTGACTATATTTGGGAGGGGTTGGTCTTAAGCTGTGGATTCCTTTAAAGAATCTTTTTATTCTGATATCAGATAATAATTCTGAAGACAAAATTTGTGTTAGTGCTGCCCTGTAGGAACTTAGTACAACAAAGGAAGCTCCTTTTTTAAAATGAAGTGTAAAAAACTCTAGGACTTCTGGAACTGATGTAGAGAATCATTTTAAATTATTATTTTTTCTATAAAGCCACCACTGCTTAAGACCCCCATTGTATTGCTTGATTGTTGATGCTGTAATAGAAGACAAACAAATATCCAATGATTCCTCCGGAACGTCCTTCTGCTTTAGCGCTTGTAAGATAATATTCCTACCGCCAGGGTAATCTTCTGCCAGAGGGGGTGAGGCGTTTGTCTGAAAGTAAGTAAATTTTTGGCAGGTTTAAATATAATTGGCTCTTGTTCTGAAAGTGAACAGAAAAGCGGATACCATGGTTGAGATGTCCAGAGTGGAACAACCACAACACCTCTTCAGATTTAATATAGCTAGCAAATACAAACAGATTACGAGCCTCACACCATTGCCACAATTCACGGGATAATTTATTCAGTGTGGGAAATTGTACACTTCCCATCTTATTAATATAAGCCAGTGCAGTTGTATTGTCAACCCTACATAAAATGTTGCAGTTTGAGAGTTCTATTGCAAAATATTTTATAGCATAAAATGCTGCTTTAAGCTCTAAAACATTAATGTGTTCTTTGGTTTCTGGTTCAGACCAAAATCCATGGCATTTTTTACCATTGGTACAAGCGCCCCACCCCGTCTTTGAAGCATCTGAGAAAATTTCAATTTGGTAAGAGTTTATTTTTATATTATTTTTAGTGGCTCGTATATTCTTTAGCCACCAATTAAAATCAGGTCTGAGTTTTTCGGACAACTTCATTGATGCGTCATAGTTTCCAGCAGACTTTTGTAATGCAAGAAATTTCTCTCGCTCAAATAACTTTGTATATACCCAACCAAATTTTACTGCTGGACATATTGAAGTGAGTTTTCCTAAAAATATTGCGAAATCTCGAATGCGACATTTATAAAGGGTTGAAAACTTTTGTATTAATTTAGCTATTCTCTGTGATTTGATAATAGGGACCGATACTGTCATGTTAAGAGAATTATATATAAATCCCAAGTATGTCACACTATGGGATGGTATTATCTTACTTTTATTGTAATTAATACTAAAACCAAGTTTTTCTAAAAGTCCTATCGTAGTTTTCACATTAGTTAAACATTTGCTATATGAACCCATTAATAAAAAATCATCTAAGTACAATACTGATGTATAACCCCTACTTCGGAGATGTGACAAAACTGGTTTCATTAATTTTGTGAATATTAATGGTGCACAATTTAAACCAAATGGCAAGGCATTATATTGATATAATTTATTTCGAAAATGAAATCTTAAATATTTTCTATGAGGGGCATATATCGGCACTAGCAGATATGCATCTTTCAAATCTAAAGTTGCCATAAAACATTTCTCTTGTATAATTTTTGTGACTGTTTTATGGTCTTCAATTTTAAAATGGGTAGTCCAAATATATTCATTTAGTGACTTTAAGTTTAGAATTAACCTATGACCACCGTCTGGTTTTGATACTAAAAATATTTTAGATATATATTGTCTTTTAGATGGTTTCACAACACTTATTGCTCCATTTTTTAATAACTCCTCAATAGAGTAACCTATAGACTCCTGTTCGGAGGGGGACCATGAAGGTGCCTTAGGAATACTTTTTTGTATTGGCTTTTTTATAAAAGGTAATTTAAACCCTGAAATGTATGACAAAATTGTCTTATCTGAGGTAATATGAGACCACTCATGTAAAAAAAGCTTCAAACTCCCAGCTTTTATACTAACCTGGTTACTTATAGCCTCTGCCTTTCTCCTTTGAACCTGGATGTGCTGCGAGGAGGGCCCTGTTGCAAATTCTGTCGACCTATTTGTGGGTTCCGTTGATTGGGACGTTGAAAATTGCTGGACCGCTGGTAGGGAGTCCTTTTGTACTGGTATCCACCCCGGGCTCCCCTTGTTTGGCGAGATGGACCTTTCGAGTTTAAATGTTGAACAGTCTTTTTTGTTACTTTGGGCTTTACAGGTCTAAGTTCCTGGATTGATTTCTCAAGGGACTTTGCTGTCTTCAGTCGTTCTTCCAGTGATTCTCCAAATAAGTACTGGCCTGTGGTTCCATCAGATAGCGTTTCTCTTATGTCCTTATTTAGATTTATGGAAACGAGATCTTTTCGAGTTAGCGTCTCTGAATGATATATGTCACAAAGAAGCCGTCCAGCATCGCTTAGTAGTTTGATACACTGATAGTTGCCCCCTCCTCTTCTGCCAAACTAAGAGAGAGGGCCTCGGCAATAACAGATATAGACGTTCCTAATTGTTGCTGCTTCAAAGCTAAGCGATCGTCCCTTTTTAATATCTGTGAGGAAATAGCGGCTTTGATCTCCGGATTAAGCTCAGGGGCCTTCAAAAGTATTAAGTTTTCTGGTAAATGATACTTATTTAGTACTTCTTTTTTAGTATCATCATTTAACCCCTTTTTTATTAGTTCTGCCCACCGCGTCTCTATCGCTCTGTTAACCGGGGGTCCAAAGCAAGAGGTCTGTATAGGCTCTGACCCAAGGATCTCTAAAAGGTCTTCTCCTAATTTATTATCCGGAGAATCAGCTTCCTTAGAATCAGAAGCTATGTTTTCTTGTTCTATTTGGTTCTGCTCTGAGTCACCTAGGACACGAGAGAAAACAAAATGGTACAAATCAAATTATTTTTCAAGAAATGTATCATAAAATTATGAGATATTTTTCTGTCAAAAGAAAAATTGTTGCTAAAAAGTATTTCTATCCAAAAAAACCAAGTGTTTCCCAAAAACACTTAATATTATCAAAAGGCAACAAACTAATATATTTGTTTTTTTTTTAATTACCCTGTACATATTATAAATAGGTGAACATATCCACAAATAACCACAAATATATATATATTTTTTAATGTATTAAGTATTTTCCTGTCAAAAGGAAAACAAAGAAGCTGTGTATTTCCAAAAACACACACAAGTTGTTACCAAAAACAACTGCAAGTCGTTACCAAAAACAACATTAATTCTTCTAAAAATCCTGTATGATTCGTAAACAGTTATCAAGTCATAATTTTTTCGCCAAAGAAAAATAATCATTTAATTGATAAAATAAATTATATTCCTGCCAAAAGGAACACTGTATGCCACCAAAAGCACATGCAAGTGGTTTCATAAAAAACAACAAAATAAAATGTAATTACTGAAACCACCCTGTATAAATATTTTTATATTCCAGCCAGAAGGAAAATAAAGAGGCATATATGTCCCCAAAACAATATTATCTACAATTATATTGAATCATATGATAAAAACCAGTTTTTTGTTGTTTAAAAAGTAACATTATACCGGCAATTAGATGAAAATTAAATTTAGCCGGTAACCGATCGTTTTTTATATAAAAAAATAACTACCCATGTACTAACACTGTAAATACCTATGTGTTAAAAAAAAAGGATTGTGTACAATCAATAAAACACGATAGGAATGAGTCATCATTAGAATTATATAATTTGGACTAAATTTACCAGGTACCAGGTCATAATATTTTATGACCTGCTTATAAACACTTAAAATGACATTTAATAAAAATTAAATCAATGTCATGGGTATGTACTAGTAGCAAATAATATAAATAATACTTACTGTCAAGTCGAACCAAGGGCACTTCTTCACCTTCACTCACTTGTGTAAAAGGCCCTACGCTATTATTATTATTATCACTATCGTTATTAACCGAATTTTGTGCATCCTTCTGCATTTTATCAAGTTGCTTTTGCATATTAGATAATTTCTTCTCGAGCCACCTGTCTCGTGATCTGCTACGGCTTCGACTTCTACGCCGTTTTCGGCTGTGCTTGGGCATGTTGAATTTATTTTAATTTTCAATAGACGTGCAACGTGATTAACTTGACACACAAAGTAAGACTGGGGAGAAATGCAGGGATATGCGGGTAGAGTTCTTGCTTTAAAAACGTGTGATATTTGACCATAGGCGTAGGATACTACATTATTCTTATTTACGAGGCGAGACCTAATATAATCTAAAATGTAAAGTACTTGAAATTTTTCGAGTATTGAGGCCAATATGGATGAAAGTACTCACGAGTACCAATTACATTTAAGTTATGATCTAATTAATCACAATGTTCTATTTTATAAAAACTAATAGAACATTTTGAATTAATTTTAAATATGTTTTCATACTAATAGCTTTATAACTTTATTTTTTTGACGTTTTTCAATGTCAAGATAGTTTCTCTTGTAGCCCTTGGGAATACAATAAATACTTTTCTGGACTAAGACAAACCAATGATTATTTCAAGTAGAAAAATAAAAAATAAAAATAAGGAATATAATAATTCTTCGATATTTTTGGTTACCTGCTAAGTATTTATATTTTCTTCAAAATCCGTATTTTTATTTACAATTAAATACAACCAGTTCTTAAAATCATTCAGTTTAAAACTATACTCATGGCCTGTATTAAAGTGTTGACTAGATGGAGAAAGATAAGATGTTAACATTTCTTATGTATTTGAAAAGGTCACGGAGGTAAGCATATAGAAGTTCTTTGATGAATAACAATATGAAATTATTCTTGTTTGTCGTTTTTGTCTATATTTTGAAAGTTTAAGCACATAATACAGTTTATGTTAACTTGTCATTTAAAAAAAAAAAATAGTGTAAAAAAAGTGAAAAGCCATTTCTGCTACAGTGATACACAGTTGAGCTATTCAAAATGATCACTAAAACTAAAAATTATAGTGTATGTAAATAAATGTATGTACAATTACGAGGTTTCATGAACGACTGGGTTTGGAGAGCAATATCCATATCACACGTGACTAAATTGATGTTATTGGTTAGTTAAAAGTACATATTTGTTTATTTGAGGCTAAAAGAATAACTTTAATAGTATCCCTAAAACAATGTCACTGACTTGCTGAATTGTTTTATAGTTTTCACGGAATTTTTACGAAGTACCATGCTAAATGATAGTCTAAACCACTTAGCTATGATATCAATAAATAGAAATTTAGTTCTGGAGATAATTTCGACGGAAGAGTCCGGGAAAAATGTATTTCAATGAAGAAACGTAGAGCAGATTTCAATTTCAGGATGTCATTCCATGAACTTTTGTAAGAACAAAAATTAAAAACAATAATATGTCAATTTTCATATTTGATTTTTTAGAATAATTATTTAGACCTTTTTATATAAGAAATATACACTAGTGGAAAAAATTAAGGGATCAAAAAAAAATCTCGATTTTTTGCGATTTTTCGAGTGTCTGTATCTTTGGTAAAAATGGTCGTACATGAATAAAAAAAAAGCAATTTGAAGCTTGAAGTGTCTAGTTTATGGATCTTGCGATAAAAATTTCCAACCAACAATTAGCACAAAATCCTGATGAATATCATGGATAGAAAATTTTTGAAAAAACATTTTTTTTTTTTTAATTTTTAGTGTACGGACTTAAAAAATTTCTCGACATAACCACTATATGCATTGGATAGGTGGTTCAGTTAACATCAATTCCTTTTTTTGATGGCCTCGATAAGACCCTTCCTTGCTGAGTTATCAGAAAAGGAACGAAAATGCGTCATTTCCTCTTCTCTCGTCAATATCTCAGGAACCAATGGCCGCTCAAAAAATGGAAGGGGATTTCGGAAACTTCGATTCATTCTCTACAAGGTTCTGGCATGTTCTTTCACGAGAAAAAAATTTTTCATCCCTTGCATGACTTTGAAGAATTTCGGAAAACAGGTCTTTTTGAGGTTTTTTAGAAAATCACGTGCCACATTGTAAATATTGGGAAAATGAATAATGTTGAGTGTGCACCTTACAGGCCATTGTTTCCCCGAAAGCCCTACAAAATTTCAACCTGATCCATCAAGCCATTTCATTGTTTCATGCGAGTGAATTTTTGAAGAAATTGAAGGATCGCGTTTTTCTATTCATGATATTCATCAAGATTTTGTGCTAATTGTTGGTTGGAAAATTTTTTATCGCTAGATTCATAAACTAGATACTTCAAGCTTCAAATTGCTTTTTTTTTTCATTCACGTACGACCATTTTTACCAAAGATACAGCCACTTGAAAAATCGCAAAAAAATCGAGATTTTTTTTATCTCTTAATTTTTTCCACTAGTGTATTTCATTTTGTTTATTGACTATTGACAGTGTGATATTTTTCTGTGCTAATGGAAAAAAAATAAAAAAATTTCATAATCTGCACCCTCAAGCCAATTAGCGCTTCCCCACCTTCGCAGTTCCGGAGCTGCCGCTGCTTCTTGAACACGTGTGTGTTCTCGCTCCATAATTTACCCACAACTGAAAGTAAAGTATATAAATGTGTTTAACAGATCATACAATATAATTTTTTAGTTTTATATCAATTTCCCTAAAATTGTAATAATGCTATTAGTACTAAAAATATCATATGCACCTAAGCTCATAAAAGTACTTCTAGGTCTTTTTGAACACTTGTCTATTCTCAGCCCATAAATTACCCTTGCAAGCCTTGAATTATAAATAACTATTAATTTTATTTCACTAGGTTGAAAGGACGGGCGTAGAGGAAACTACATTTTGCGACATTTACAAAATGTTAATAACTTGTGGAGGTATCGAAGGATTTAAGATGGTGTCACCTACACTTGCCCAGAGTGCCGTTGCTAGGTTAAGTTCCTGTCGCTTAATATTGGCGGATCAAAAATGCAACAATATATATCAAAAGATTATTTTAAATGTTAGTGTTGACGATGTTTATTATGCATTGAAAAAAAATTAGGTTTGTATTATTATTTACCTTTTTTTAATTATTTTGATTTTTAAAATACCAATCAATTGTATTCCACTTGATTGTTGTGATTGTTTTTAATTAATTAATTTTTTTTATAATATTGGACAATTAAAAATTTTGTATTTTAATTTTGTGAGATGTTTTCAAAATACAAATTAAAAAGGTCTACGTCGATTTTTGTTTAATTTATTTTCTTAATAACAATACCACATTTATGTAAATGGAGATATGTAAATAAAATCTATTTTAATATTTGTTCGCTTTTGTTCCATTTTTTGTTTTTGTTCTCTTGGCAAAAGATAAAAGTTTGAAAGAAATTAATACAGAAGGACACTAAATCGCAACTGATGCTTTTAAAAGTAGACTGATCTGAAGAAGCTCTAGTCATACTCGTTGGCCAATTCTGTAGCTTCAATAAGCAGCCCAAAGTCGATATCTGTTAAACTTGCTTTAGCAGTCAATAAATCTAGAAAAGTATCCAATGGAGACATGTTCTTTCCTACATGATAAGACCCCAATCCTGAAATTAAATCTATTGTCAGTCAAATAATTTATTATTTTTTTTTACTGACCTATTGAACTTGTGGGATTTGGATTTTTACTTCTTGTAGGTAATCCAGTGACTCCAGAAAGTATATTTTGAGAATGTTCTCTAGCTCTTAAAATTACACTTATAGGATGATTCCATTGGTTGAGAAGTCTTTTTGCTCGTTGTCTCGGCAAAACGGAAAGTAATTTTAGTTTTTTATCAGTACCTTCCTTACTGTCATCATTTTCTATAAATAAAAGATAAGTAAAAAACTTTCAGCAATTTTAAATTTTATTTTGTTATAAAGTAGCACAAAAGAAATTTGCGATCAATGATAAAAATGCTCATCTATTCGGTGTCAGACAAGTCATAGTTGTTAGAAATGATGTGGTGAAATAAGTTTGAATTTTCAAAAAGTTAGAAAACCACAGGGAGCGTTTAAATTTTAATCTTTTAGTTTTTTTATTATTTCAAAAAGTTTTAAAAGATATTGAGTCGAAATTTGCAAAACGTGTTGAAAGGATAAATGTGTATTTTTTGGTTTGGCCCACATATTTATACTTGCACCAGTGACGTTCGTGCGAGAATGCCACTTTTTTTAATAAAATAAAAACGGTATGCTACTGACTTTTTTTTTAGAAAAAAACTAAATTGAATTTTGAAAAAGTGGTTCGAGAGGAGCATAGATTTAACCTTGACCTACACGTACATATTTCTTCTTTTATAAATAATTAAAAATAAACTTTAAAAGCAATTTTTCGTCTGGAAAGTGGCGCCTCTGTTAGATTTTTAAGAAATTTATATTTGTGAATGAAAACAATTTATATTTTACGAGGGACAATTAAATTTTACGTATTTGTACACCGTATTTTTCTGCGTAATACTAAGATTAGCATATATATTATAGTGAAAGTAGAAGTTGGAAAGGCTTTTGGTAGGTAGAGAGGGGGTAGACGTCAAACCAAGTCGGACAGCTTCGAGAATTTCGCAGTAATGTTTACCTACCAGTGTCGTTTCATAGAATAAGTAATTTTAAATTGTTACCGGCGGAACCGGACAATCGCATGTATTTATGGACTATAAATAATTATTAAACATGTATTATAATATTCAAATCATAATTTTACAAAATTGCAATAGCTATTCACAATTTATTAAACTATTTAATCGATAAAATAATTTTGTACGCCAATGTATCGCGTCCACTTCGGTGAGATCCGCCGCAAACCTGTCAATTTATGTGTATAAAGTGGGAGAACTGGCAAAAGCCTTTCCAACTTCTACTTGTGCTATATATGCAAAGGTTTTAAGTACACTAATTATACGGATTTTTTTTAAATTAGAATCAGTTTTTGAAAAAAAATCTAAAAAGGTGTCTCTAACGAAAAGTAATAAAAATAATTAAAAGCGCTAAAAGGGAACAATATATAATTATCTTACAATAAAAATAGAAAAAATACTTTTTAAAAGCTCTTTCGTGTAGAGGGTGATACCAACAAAATGTATTTCTTTTTCTACTATTTACAAGTGATAAACAGTAAGTAAATGGTTTGAATTTATTTTGTTTTATGTTTGTACATTGTTATTTTTTACATACAGGAATTTAGGTTTCACTCTTAAGTTGTAATTTTTATACCTACTAAACTACCGTTGCCCCGAAATTCATTCAGTTTGTAATGTAAATTGTCTCCCTAAAAAATGAATTTATTTGAATATTTTAGTTTCTGTATAAAGGTAGATGTTTGGCAAATATTCCTCTATAATATTTACTTCTCTGGTTACCATGTTAAAATATTCGTGACATGAATTCAATTATAAGTATTTTTTTTATGGGTATAATTCAAAACTACACTTTCTCAACACTGTTATTGATTAAGAAATAAGGTATATATTTCCTTATTTGATAATTCTGATGATATAAAATAAAAATGTCTGTATCAGATCCTTATCTGATTACACAAAGTAGTAATTACCTAATTTATTAAAATCGGTTGTACCACGAAATATCAAACATTAAGCAATTATCTAGAAGAGAGCTGTCATTTAAATTTGATAAATTATAAAAACTAATTAACAATGGGTATCAATGTGTAATAACTTTAGAAAAATTGTAGTGTTGGGAATTTATATTTTTGCAGTAAAATAATAAAATTATTTTTATTAGAGGGAAAGACCACTCACGCGACACGTCGCGCGCGACCTGCCGCATGCGATTTTTTAGGTGCGATTTTAAACAGAGGACAAGCAGCGACACAGACGTTCAATCAAAATAGAGGTGGAAGCCTAACGGTGTTGTTTTATTCTGTTCGTCGGCGGAAAAAATTGAAACGACGTAAGTACTGGGCTCATCCATTATTTATAGACCCTTATGTAAAAGGCGCATTTAATTTATTATATAAGGATTTACGTCAACACAAAGGTAAGTTCTTCAAATATTCCAGAATGCTAGCGCAGATTCCCGAACAAATATTTTTGTCGCTATTTTATTTCAATTAACTGTTCTATATTTGAGGTCGGTCTTGAATATCGGATATAAATTCATCTATATCAATACAACTGTCGGACATTTTTTCACTGGAACTGTCGAAAAGTTAATAGGAAACTCAACGGGGGTTTCGCACGCGACTTGAAGTTTGATTGAGTGATGCTCCATATGCCCAGACAGCACACCAAATCCTTTGGATATCTACTGGACATCCCAATATCCACTGAATGTCCAGTCCATGGTGAATATCTATTTTATATCTATGAGATGTAATTTATAGACATGCAAATGTCCATAAATAATAGTAATTATATAGCAAATTATTAAAAAATTACGCCATTGTGGCTAATAGTACTGTTCAGATATTTAAAATAAATTTTTTTAAGGTGTATTCTATATCCCATGGACATCCACTAAATATATCAAAGTCTAGGCGCGAACGCAAACCATGGTGGATATCTACTAGATGTAATTTTTGATTTTGCTTACTAAGTATAAATGGCGATACCACTTTCGCTCGTTGAATATCTTACTCATGCTCAACCCGCCGTAATTGAGTTCGATCGAAATTGGTATCTCAATCAGACTCCATTAGAGACTGGAGTCGAGAATTTCCATTTATTGCTGAAGAGTCCTAATAAGGATGACTTTCTCCTTAGTGGGCAAAATCAAAGGCAGAGTGTTGAAAATATTTTTTTTCTCTGCTATTTTCTTTCGACGTTATTCAATAATCATTGGTTACTTATGAACCTCTACTAAAGATACCCATAAAATATTTTGCTGAATATCTTCTATATCCTGGGATATAGACGGACATTTGGATATCAATATTAGATCCACTGGATATATTGGATATCCACAAAATATATTCTGTTGATATTTCTGGGATTTCTCGCATTGTCTGGAAGATACCCATTAGATATTTTGCTGGATATCCATAGGATATCTTCTATATTTTGGATATAGACGGACATTTGGATATCCATATTAGATCCACTGGAAATTTCTGATATCCTGTGGATATATTGGATATCCACAAAAGATATTCTGTGGATATCTCTGGGATTTGGTGTGTTGTCTGGGTGTAACCATGATAACGCTGGCCGCGTGCGGCAGGAAAATCGCGGTTTTGTCATTTCTAATTTTCAGCCGCGTGCGACCATGCGACACAATCGCGTTAGAGGGAAAGCCCACTCACGCGACATGTCGCGCGTGACCTGCCGTATGCGATTTTTAACAGACGACAAGCAGCGACACAGGCGTTCAGTATTAAAATAGAGGTGGAAGAAGTAGTAACGGTGTTGTTTTATTTTATTTGTCGGCGGAAAAAATTGAAACGACGTATAGGTACTGGGTTCAGCCATTATTTATAGACCCTTATGTAAAAAGCGCATTTAATTTATTACACATAAGGATTTACGTCAACACGAAGATAATCAAATATTTCAGAATGAGAGTAGTGTCATTTGACGAACTGCTAGCGCAGATTCCCGAACATATATTTTTTTCGCTATTTTATTTCAATTAAATGTTCGATATTTGAGGTCGGTCTTGAATATCGGATTTAAATTCATCTATATTAATACAACTGTCGGACATTTTTTCACTGGAACTGTCGAAAAGTTAACATGAAACTCCAACTCTCAACTCGCGTTTCGCACGCGACTTGACGTTTGTATGAGTGATGCTCCATATGAATCCATGATAAAGCTGGCCGCGTGCGGCAGGAAAATCGCGGGATTGTCATTTTTAATTTTCAGCCTCGCGCGACCACGCAACAGAACCGCGTTAATGGGCTTTGAGTCATTTAAAAACATCTAAAGTATTGCCGCTCGCGATCAGTCGCGCGCGACCTGTCGCATGAGTGGGCTTTCCCTCTTAATGTGAAATTACAAGGTACAATTCGTATTACTCAAATTCCTAAAATAATGTAATTTAAAATATAGAACTAAACAAATTTTCAGTTACTTACTGGTCCTTGCTAAATATTCCCATAAGCAACTAATCTGCCAATTTATAAAGACTTCTTAGAGCGGATTCGACTCAAATGTTCGTGCTCGATGACAAAGTGCTTTTAGTTCTGAATTGATTTTATTTTGGGCAGCATTTTTATAATTCAAATTTACATTTAGCAGTGCACACAGCAAACATGAGCTAGAGTTCGACGGTTCGACATTGGTGTAGCGCATTTTTATCGTTATTCGACTGGCACAGTTAGCACTTAACATTTCAGGTTTCTAACAAATTTTAAACGATATTTATTTATAGTTGCCAAACCAAAAATTAAATCTATTAATTTCGAAGATTTTCCATTCTCATTAATAATAAAGACAAAGATCGTAATATATTTAAAAATATTAAATAATTCCTAAACTCCAAAATTACACTGGCACTGAAAATAAGTACAGTTTCAAAAAATTCGAACTTTGAGCAAGAGCGCCTGCCAGTCGAACAAAAATTTTCACTATGCCTTGGTACCAAGCAATTTCAGTCGAATGCAATAATTTACTTTTAATTAATATAGTGCATTATTATGTATCACATGAAGTTTCAGTCCGGTCCGCTGTTCTTCAAGGTTCACATATTGGTCCCCTATTGTTTCCCTTATTTTTTAATGATGTTACTTCCTGCTTTCTTAATAGACAATCCCTTCTTTTCGTGAATGATTAAAGTTTTTTAGTAGAAACACTGATAACTCCGCATTACAGTCTGACCTAAATAGGTTTGTTACCTGGTGTAAAAATAACGCTCTTTCTATAAAT